ACAAATTTCCTCTCTTTGTTGCTAAACTGCCCGCCTTCGTTTGCTTGCTCGTCGAGATGTTTTGTCATGATGTGGTTCCACATCTGCTCTGGCTTGAGAAAGAACTGTCCACACTTTTCATTTCGCTTTTCCGGATTGGTAGCCCACAGGCAGCGAACATACTCTGCATCTTCAAAGTTCAATGGGCGGGGCCGAGCGCGAATCCCGTGAATGATGAACTTCTGCTGTGACTCGCCAGGTTCACGAAGGACTTGCGCGTTGGAATCCTTATATACGGAAGTACTGTTTCGAATGAAGTCTGCCGGCGTAATCATGGGTTGGCCAATGGCCTTCAGGGGACCGACAAAGGCGGACTGGTAGGCTTGCCAAGCGGCTAGCTGCGTGACAAAAGAGTCATTGTCCTCTTCGAAGAAGCATTTCACCCATTTGTGGACTCGGTCGGGCTCTTCTAGCTTGATCATTTGCTGCAGCAAATCTTCTGGCATTGGAGCAATTTCGTCACGAGCTGGGAGCTTTTTCTCGGGAGCAAGAATGAAGTCTCGGTGGACTTTTCTAGCTCCGTGTGCCAAAAGCCGGACGAGATGGTCAACAAGGTTCTCCGGCGTGGTTGATCGGACAAGATTGTCCACATTAGAGACAACAGCTGTGTATTGGTATAGTAGATCCAAGCAGGCATCCATCAATTCATCATCGTTGAGTAGTAACCAGTTTGTAATGCGCTGGAGGGATTCTGCAGGTACATTGCTAAGCTGGTTCGTGGCTTCAAGGTTCATCGAGATGCGACCCAATGCTCGTAGGGAGGTTAAAATTGCACCTCGATCATCAGATGACAGCTGTTCCAACAAAGTCTTGTACAACGGATCGTCGGAATCGAGGGCCATAAATGGTGTAATCTGCTCCGCAATGTCCAACGCCATGTGCTTGAGCTCAGTTAGACAATCCTTAGCGGGCAAGTGCACGATGATGCAGATCAGGTCTTTGATGGGGTAGAAGTCTGACATATTCACCGCATTTTCTGGCAAAGTCACCATGTTGCGGAGAGTTAAAACGGCTTCTGTGATCAGCACCATCTGGTCTGTATGTGCTTCGGTTTGGAGGGCATCTGGTAGGTCCTTCTCTACCAAGTTGGCAATACGATCGAGAATATCCGGTGTTCCATTGTTGCCGTCTAGGGAACCAATGCCACCGGAGTCTGCATACGGATCCCATACAACAGTCCAACAAACATGATAAAACAGGCTGCCGACCTCAAGGCCCTTGTCGACTAGCCCCTCTGCAAGGCCAGGGAAAGCGTCGAAACGATACTTGTCGCCCCGCTCGAAGGATATCTTGACGAGGTGGTTTAAGGCAAAAGCTTGCTCACTTGGAACACCGGATCGTAGGGCATTCAGGCAACGGGTATAGATGTTAGGTCCATCAAATCCAGCTACGTCACGTATCGTTAGAGAGCCGGCCAACTGCAAAAACTCGAGTTTAGGTTTGGTGTCACTTACTGCCTGGCTGCATTGGCTGACGGCTTGTGGGGTCAACGAGAGCCGGCCGATGAGGCAGACGATGCCGTTGAAACTCACTGGGAGCGCTGCTGGGAGTTGCAACAACTCGTAGTTGTAAAGGTTTCAGATGCTTTGGCTGGTACGAAAGCACCACGTTGGAAGTGTTTTCCGAGTTTGACGGGTGATGCATGATAGAAGGCCCGCGGCCCTGATGGCCACCGGGCGGCATTGGAGGCATATTTGGATGATGTGTCGTCTGTGAGTTTGCCTGAGCTGGAGATGCGTTTTGAGCAGCGTTTTGTTGGACAGCCTGCCGAGTCGAACGACTGGGCCCTGTGTCGGGCTGGAAGATGACGCGCTGTGGAGGTGCCTCTCGAAGACCACGAGAAGCTCGGGAGCTTGAAGGAGCTTCAGGAGCAGAACGTTCACGCGTTGGTGTGCCGTCGTCACCTGATGCCGCAGAGTCACCAGCGTTCACGTTGCTGTCTCGCTTCGGCCGGAAGTTTTCAAGCGTGCGGGTCAATAAGCTGGCGCCCTTTGCGGTGATGTCCTCCAGAATTTCTTTTGGAGGCGGCTCTTTATTGTGAACTGTCTTGATCTCGTAAGCGGCCAAGTTCTTGTAAAACTTTTCCTTCAGGGAAAACGCTGTAGAGGCTTCGTTGTTTGAGTGCAAACCCAACTCGGCTGCAACACGGCGCCAGGCCAACTTCTCCTCAGAAATTTTGTCGTAGCCTCCGCTGGCGACAACGTGATTGAATACTTTGTACAGGTCGAGATATATCAAACCAACTTTAGGTTCGGGGTCGAGAATGGTGCCTCGCTTCTCGTGAAATTCTTGGAGCTTGGTCATAAACTCCTCATACTCGGGAGTGCGGTCGATGGAGTGCAGGGGCACCTCTTGCGGCGTCGTAGTCATTGCGGTTTGGTCGTCCCAAATCAGCCGTGAATAACGTGTCCGTTCTCTGTCGGATTTTCGACCGACGTTCGTCGTACAGCCTCTTGCGCTACGACTTGGACAAATTGCGCGTCCGGATCTGTGCTTGCGATGCGCCCTCAAATCCAGTGGATGCGCAATCAACCAGCGTTCAAGCGCATCAATTCACTGCCTGTACACGGCGCACGCCGACCAGTGATCTTGAAACGATCGCAAAGGCGATAGAATGCCCGAACGAGGGATGTCGTTTAGTCGACGACTACCAGAGGGACGGACTGGAGACGTGTTGGCGCAGGACTAGTCGCGCCCAAATGCGAGGCTGGCAAGCGCTATCTTATCACCACGTGAGCACACACACCATTTGCATATGTACACTTATGTATGGATAAACCACCAATCGGCATGGTTCCTTTGGCTCCATAAATTGGTCCAACTCGATGAGATGGCCAAATTCTGTGATAACATTGAAGTTACTGGGTACTCCGTACATCCATCAAGAACATTCAACATTCTTTAGGTAGGTCTGGTTCATGTTCAGCCATGACCAACAGCCCGAATATCACGAATGGCTCGATTCGCTTCGCCTGCATTAGGATGCCAACTTCGCCTGGTCGAGGTGGAGATCGGCGCTGCAAAAGAAACATACGACCATGAGCGTCTCAACGAGCCACTAGAGTTAAGCCTAGAAGGGCAAAGGTCGTTGGGCTCCGATTGCGGTATTCTTTCGCTGCTGATTACCGCCGGCACTAGACAAATGGTTCGTCGTGATCGCACGTGGAGTTCTCCAAGTTCTAACGCTCTCTACCAGCTTTCGATACGACTAAATGACTTGTTGAGTCACCCGAATGGCACTGAAGGAATAATATGTGTCGATAAAGGGAGACACCAGCTTTGTGTAAAGCTACCAAATCGGGACCACATTCTCCGGGTATGGTTTGTTGAGGAGCGAGACTTTCTAATATCCGTGTGCATTCTTCGAAAATCTGGCTTCAAGATTGACGAAGGCAAAGTAACTCATCACAAGGGTGCTGTCCCTGCCAATGCCGACAACGGATCTCAGCCCATAAAGACTACCAACAGCAAACAACCACCAGTCCCCTCTACTACACCCCTGGCTTTGTTAACTGCGCAAGCCAAGTCTCTGTGCAATGACCAGCCCCGTCCTTTTCCCACAAGAAAACCCCAAGGGGGCAATATATTTGACGAGGTACTGGAGAGCTTACAGAGGCTTGATGGAGACTCTAAATCAGTAAATACTGTCCGGGACGATCTATTATCTAAAAAACTCGGCTCACATGACCTGTCGTACCTCAATCCCTACAATGCCTTTTCGACAAAGAAAAAAGCCGCCTTGAAACAGCCAAATGTTGGATCCCCGCTCAAGAACATGGTGAACCAAGAACAGCGACATGAAGGTGAAACCAAGAATTTGAAAGCTACCTGCTCGACCCCCAAACCAACAAGAAGGCATAGTCATGGGTACTTCACACGCTCTTTCTCGTCGTCGAGATCTGAAGCACAACAGAATACAAAAACCTCCCCTTCATCGTCCCTCAAAGCCCAACGGAGTGCTAGCGTGCACGTGGATGAAGCCTTCGTGCACAGTACGCCCAGGCCATTCTCTGCTAGCTTCGATTCAAGCCCAGCCGTCAGCCTTAGACAGCTCATGCCGCGACGCCGGAAACTCCCGTTTTCTACAAATGTCAAGAATAAGTACAAAAGGTCGAGGCCTACTTGTGAATCTGAAGAGGGTGGTTCTTGTAGGGAATTGGTGACACCGACAATGGCTCTAGGTGGGACACAACTGAACAAGCCACGATCGGTTTCCCCCGAGACAACAATCATTCTGACACATTTGGCGAGCCTGGATGAACTGGATGAAGCATCCCGTAATATATTTGACCAGTATGAGAAGGATGTTGCAAGAGGTTGTGACCAGGAACAGTGCGCTCTCTTCTACTTGGAGCGATTACATATCACCAGAACAAACTTTTGGCTCAAGGAACTGCTGAGAGTCAGCAATGTCGACCAAGAAACAGGGACAAATATCCAATCTGTAACTAATAAAGCATGTGCTATGAACTAACACGCCGGCTTCTTGACTGGTACCTTTGCTTCTCCACATGTCCTTCTACAGATATTTAACGTGGCAGTGACCTGAATCTTGGTCACGACTAAAAGGGTCCTTTTTAAAGTTTAGGCCCAAAATGTGTCGATCTACTAAATTAATTACGTTTGCTTCTGCTTGACCTTTGGCCCCCACGGAATCATAGTTCTCACACTGTACTGGGCAAGATCGAGGGATGTTCACTTTCTATATAAAGTCCACTGCCATTTCACATAGCATGCATTTTCCAATCCTCTTGGCCTTTCAAACACGCGGTGCTACACCTCAAAGTATCTACGTACGCAACCACCTTTTCAGAGAATCTACAGTTGATATTGGGGCCTTCACCACCATTCAAGCTATCTACATATATCCTCCATACATCTATACCTCTTCATCTTTACATCTGATTCTCCCTCCATTCATTTCTATAATTCTTCTCATTCTCCATCAACGGCTCTAAAAAATGGCTGCATCACCAACCGCCGTCGTCGTCGACAACTTCATCAAGCAGGTGTCCACGATTTTCAAGAGCAACGGCTACATTGACTTTCCCGGCGCGCAGCTGCAGGTCTTGCCAGAAAACCACTGCATTCTTGAATGGGACACTCCCCAGGACGACAGCTGCCCAGGTCACATCCTGGAATGGGACGACACAGACCCCGACTACATCATCGTCACCAGCTCTCAGTACCCGAAAAAAGTTGCCTCTCGCAAGCCCAACTCGCCAGGGTCCTTGCGCTTCATGGTCCCAACCAAGATTGAACGCGGGATGCGAGAGCTCGTCCGCGACACAATGGAGGACCTCCATTCGGATCCAGGGCTCCAGGAGAAGGCTGGAATAAAGTCTGTTAGCCTCGTGGAGGACACGCCACGCAAAGCAGTTTGGCATCTTACACGAACTGAGGAGCAACGAGACTGAGCCTCTATGAAAGTCAAAATCGTTGGTACAATGACAGCCAGCACGGACATAGATTTTGGGTACTAGTGGAAGTTATTTGCTTCAGTGGGTTTAAGTTTGGGCGTTTGTAATTGTTTGGGAAATAAAGATTGGATAGAGACTACTGAGCCGGAGGCGTGGCATTAATTTGGAGAGGTATTTATTTTGGCTGTCACGCTCCATACAGACTCACTTCATCATGTATTTGCATTCTGAATTGCCTGTCGAATTGGCTATATTGTCATATGGATTGATTATTTATTTTCTTGGTGTAGTCATGGGTATCATAATACTTATTCTTGCGGTCCCTCATTTACTTTCGAGTCGTATGAGCGTCATTGAAATGTACCCACCAACCTTGAACATACATTCGACCCTAACGGCATTATAGGACGGACCGCGAACTTAGTTTAATGCAGCAAGAAGGTACTGCTGCATTTAGCATCCAAGCGCAAAGTTGATGTGCCACAGTAGCACGATGGGTACGCGCGTCGAGGAAGGAGAACAAAGCTTGTATTTGAATCTCATGGGAAATGCACCCACCGTGGCCAGCTTATGCCCCCCTCGCCCTCATAAAGTCAACCAGATCAAAGAAGCTCTTCTTGAAATACCTTGTCTGCGTCGTACGATTCACCACCTGCAATCCAAACTGTGCACTATAGTCGCCAAATTCCCAATTATCTGCGAATGACCAAGCATACGCACCAATTACCTCCACACCATCCTCCCAGATGGACTTGAGAACCTCGGACATGTAGCTCAGGTAGTAGATGCTCCGGGGAGAGTCGAACAACTGGTCAGACAATGCCTTTTCCGACTCTGCAAAAACGGGGAATCCAAACTCTGTGATGGCGACTGGGGTCTTCCAGGTGTTGTACAGATAGTTGAGGTAGCTCCGCAAGTATGTGGGAGTAATGTATACATAAGACTGTGAACGATACCCAATGTCCCAGCCATGGACAGTGACGGAGGTTTGATTGACACAGTACGGCCTGAACGTCGACGACGAGTTGGCCGCGCATTCCAGGACGCTGTTGGAGTCATTGGGAACTGGAGGAGCCACGACGGTTGCGGTGTACGGATCGATGCCGAGAAAGTCGGCTGTACCTCCAATGTATCGCAAGTCCTCTTTGCTCAGAGGGATGTAATCAGGGAAAGTCTTTTTGAACGACTCGGGATAGTCCTTTCCCAGATAGATGGGGTCGCAAAATGGCCCCAGTTGAATCGAGTTGAAGTGGTTGGCAGCATATACGTCAGCCTCGCTGTTTGGGTTCCGCGGCACACCAAAGTTGTTGTTGAACTTGAGAGAGATGCGTCCAGTCCCCCTTAGCTCCTCCTTGTAGAAGTGGTAGACTCGGGCGTGAGACCTGATGACGTGGTCAATGGACTTGGCATTGTACGAGTAGAGCAGGGGCTCGTTGAAGGTGAACCAGATGGGAACCCTATCGGCGTAGTGTGTCATGGCGACCTTGGCGTAGTGGACAAAGGCGTCCGGGAAGGACTCGTTCTGGTACGCACCATTCACGTATCCAATCTCGGGCTTGTCGGCGGCCGTTGTGAGGTTACCTCCGTAGAACTGGAGGGGCGTGTCAAAGTGAAGCAGGGTGGCGACGGGAATCATGCCCTTCTCCAGGATGAAGTTGATGACGTCGTTGTAGTGATCAATGCCTTTCCTGTTGACTGGTGTTCCTGGCAAGGCAAACGGTAGAATGCGAGTCCATGCGAGACTGAAGGAGAAGTACTTGGCGCCCATTGCCGCCACGCGTTCAATATCCTGCTTGTAGAGATAGTAGTGTTCATTGGTCGTGTAAGACTTTGGCCGCGAATCCCGAACCAGAATGTCCATGAGAGACGGAGATTTGCCCTCATCAGCGGCAGCGCCTTCGATCTGGGAGGCGGAGCTGGCCACTCCAAAGGAGAAGTTGGCCGGAAAGTCGTAACAGTCGGTCGGTCCAAAGTAGTCTCGAGGAGGGAGCACTAGCTCACTGGTAGCAACGGGCGTTGGAGACACAGTTGTGCTGTACAAAGCCCTTTCCGTGAAGTTTGGCGGGTCGGCATGCTGCCAAAGAGCAGTCCAAGCAGCTTGACCATATGGATCGTTGGTATCGTTTGCCTTGACGGGAGCATTGCGATTCCAGTTGCCCCATGTGGCATACGACAGAGAAGGGACCAAGGCAGACACCGCATCAGGAGGAGGAGCGTATGTAGTTGTAGCCGTCGGGGCAGGTACCGATGTGGCATATCGGACAGTTTCTGTGAGTGTGAAGCTAAAGGGCTGATAGGAATAGTGAGGCTCCTTGACCTTTGAGCATGGGCATTGCGGTCGTGGTGTTGGACCTCCTGCCGGCACGTATACTTGTTGTGCCGACAATACGTCAGCCAAGACGGCGTGGCCCAAGAGAAAAGAAGAGCTCTTCTTCATGATGTAGGAAGCAATTGCTGTGTAGACTCTGGCAGCTCCATGGTTTGGATACGGCAGAGCTCGCTTGGTTGCCCATGAGTATAAATAGCTGGGGTGTCCGAGACAATTCCCATGGCGACACGAGCTGGAGAGCATAGCAGATAGGCTTAATTATCCATCGGACCGACTGTAGTCTAGAAACGGGTTGGCATGACGGCGCTACTGGTGTCCAGATTATATTTCCCATGCATCGTGCTCCGTATTGAGGCCATGGCAGATCGTCGGCCTAACCACCCTGCGACGATCATGGTGGCCTTATTGGACGGCGAAGCTTAGACGGAGAAATAACCAACGGCCCGTACGGCCGTGTTTGTGATGGATGACGATGATTCATGATGGACGATGGTTGGGATGCATTCCGCGTGGATTTATTTCCCCGCGCGGGGATCCAATTTCCCCGACATGGATGCAAAGGTGTGAGTGGAGGCAAAGTCTGGGGAAAACAATATCCTTGTTCACAACCCGGATTACTTACGTACATACGTCCTGAGCGCGTCTTGGGAGCCACTTTGTACAGTTATTCACGGCAGCACTGGTCGGTCAGGATCGTCCGATGATGCAGGAGACGGACAGAGTGGTTTGAGGCCATTATTCGCGCCAAATCTTCCCGTCGTCATGCCGCGCATTTCTGGAAAAGGTGAATTGAAATAAAGTATAGTTGGCCTTTAGAGTCACAGGATATGGCCACAGGATAGAAACAAAAAATTAGACTTCAAGCAGTATTATTCTTATTGGTACCGAGTTAATCTAAGGTGCACGCAGTGCCACTATATATCAACAATCAAAGACTCTGCTGTTTAGGCAAGCTTTTTCGCATACACTTGCTCGATAAACTTCTCGTCCTTCTTAGGCACGCCCAAGAGCTCATTGTCATTCTTCTGAAAGTCGCTACCGTGCTCGGGGTCGAAAATAGATCGATACAAGTATGGCACAATGGTGTGAAAGTCCACAATTCCTTGGGCCAACCTCTTGTCAGCTTCGGCAGTGGCCTCATCCAGGGCAGTGTGCTTAGGCTGCCATGGTTTGTTGGGCGCCACCTTCTTTGCAATGGCCAGCAGGTCATTCTGTGATATCTTGACGTCCCCCAGGTACACGGCCCTGTTCTTGGTTTCGTCGGGATGGGCCAGCACGCCGACCACGCCCTTGGCAACAGTGTCCAGAGATGTAGAGTTGAACACCTGGTTCCCGCCGTTGTAAATCGTCGGCTGATAGTTTGATACGTCCAGGAGGAAGTTGCCTTCGATGCCCCAGTCCAAGAAAGCACCAGTGTAAATGTAGGTGTAGGTGAGGGAAGAGGACTTGGACTTGTCGGTCAAGTAGTCCTGGATTTTGACCTTCTCGAGGAACGGGAGCAGAGTTCGGTTCTTGGCATTGCTCAAGTCACCACCAAACTCTGAGGGGATGAATCGCTTGACCCCGGACTTGATGGAGGCGTCAATCAGTTGGCGCTGAAGGCTCAGAGCTGTTGGCCCCAAAAGCGCAATCACGGCATCTTGGCCCTCGAGTGCTGTAGCGAGAGCGTCGACGGATGAGAAGTCGGCCTCGACGACTTTTGTGCCGGCAGGGTACTGAGTCGTGGAATTCGGCCGTCTCAGAACCTGGACGTTGAACTTGCCCGAATCGACGAGCGTCTTGAATACCGTTGCGCCAAGGTTGCCCGCAGCGCCGACAATGGTGACGTTCTTAATAGCCGACATTGTTGACTAATGGATATTGAATAGTATGGTGACTTGGATTTTTGTAACGCGAGAGGTGCCCTTGTTTGGGGATGTGCAGTGTATCAGGTGTTGTGTATTGAATCAAATGTGTCCTGTGTGTGTGTGTTTTGCGACTGCTGGCAAAAAACTGATGCACAGCAGCGCTGCAACGAAATTATATATACCCATTTCCAGATTCGAGAACATGTCACATTTGAATCGATACAACATTGCATCGCCATGGCCAAGTATCACGACATCGGATTCCACGGCGTTGAGATGACCTATGACAACCAAGCGGGATTATCAAAGTGCCATATCAAGCTTGGGTCAAGGTTTATGGTTTGCTAAAGATCCAGAGTGGGATGGATGTGGGATGCCGAGACCAAGCATTTGTAACAACATAAGCGGTCACAACTCAGGGTCAAGTTTTTTTTTATTTTAAAAAAAGATAAATAAAAGAGCTATGCCTAATCAGGAAGTATATCCCACATGCCTAAAGTACTAGTAGTCTCATGACAAACTGCATCTCGAAGTGTCTCGTCTAATTGCTACAGGAAAATGGTGTTGTTTCGGTTTCCAACTCGTCATAATAGATGCATTGACCACCCCTTCAGCTCTGCTACTCTTGTGGTTATGTCTCTAGTTACAATCCGTATTGATGGTATAGAAGATGGGCTGACTTGTCATTTTGCCGAATCGGAACTAGCGTTCTTGGCCGTTTAAAAAACCACTCCTAATTTTATCTCGCATCATGAATTCACGGGTAGGGTCCTTCTATTGAATCTGGCCCCTAAATAGCCGTCTGTTTCACACACTAGTCATACATTCGGTGTGGGCGCATAAGGGTTCGGATTTCTAATGGTCGGCCAGATCATCTTTTTGCGTGCGAATCCCATCCCACTTTCTTGCCGACTTTGTCAACTACATCGGCAGTCGAGCTGTCAGTTCATCGTGTTATTCTTGTTCTCGCGATGTTGTTCAATTCAATATATTGTGTAGTATTACACCCGGTGATGCAATTCACCCAAGACAAGTACCGGAGGAGAAATATCTCCAACCCTGAATAAAATTCATTTCAATTGGTAAGAATAGTTGCCGAAGCCGCCGGCGAGATGTACCCTTCATCGCTCCCAACACCAAACCGAGACCGCATGGGATGAAGCCAGTCTTCAGAAGCCTTGGCCATTGATACACGTTGCTAACTGTCAGATTTTAGACGCACGCAGCCAGACTTGTGCTGTCAATCTCCACATATCGACGTCAATTCTGCATCTGATTTACATTTCGGCTCACTCTCCTGCAGCACAGCCGCCCGGTGGGAGAGACATCGTGGAGAGGACCAGCCACATTGAACCAAGAACAGACGTTCTCAGCATCCCCCATTTTTAAACGCTTACTTGAGGTCTGTCTCGGGCCCCTCGGGCACATGGCAGATACCACTCCCAGCCGACACATTTGTCATTGCGGCAAGTCTTTCATCCGCAAGGAACACCTGCGGAGACACCAAGCTTCACATACCGGCAGGTCGTTTCGGTGCGAAGTTTGTGGTCGGTCTTTTACACGAAGGTACTGTTTGACCGCAGAAGCCGGAATGGGGTCCAGGCTAATGAGTCCTTAGTGACCTGCTTCGTCGACACGCCACTCTCCATGATAGCGCAACCGCGTCACACGAGCCTCGCAGGGACAGAGCTTGTGATACCTGCCATGCCAACAAGACGAGATGTAGTGGGGGCGTGCAGTGCTCCTTGTGTGTCAAGAGAGGAGTTGCCTGCACGTATAATCGAGGGAACCTCGAACCGCACAAGAAAAATGGCTTCGTCCAGGCTGAGCCACTCTCCGTCATGTCCAGCGATGGAGGCTCCAACTCTTCACCGAGCTCAGGCTCTCCCGAGCTGCTGACACTAGAGGCGCCTTTCTTGCTTCAAATAGAAGAGACCGAAGATCACGATGCAAGCCAACAGCTGAACTTTAGCAGATCGGCAGGCCTCAACATTTTGCTCAGAGTTCTCACGAAGCAGCCGCCAGGATCTCCTTCTGAGTCCCAGGCAATCCCACGACTATGGCTGACAGCCCGCATCGAATCTTACTTGACGACGTTCCACACACGATGGCCAGTTCTTCACGCCCCAGTGATCAATGAGATAACAGACTCTGTCCAAGTTATCTCGACAATTATCATGATTGACTCTTGGCTGCATGGCGATGTCAAATTGAGGGATCAAATTTTACAGATTCATGACTGCCTTGTTCGGCAGCTTCACAAGGAATTGGTAAGGAATATGGCAAACTGCCTGTGCATGTGCATCTTGAGCCTCGTACTCTAACACGCCCCAGAATCAATCCGATCTAGACCCCACACATCCATGGCCAGCCAACCTCTATCAGCTTTCGCTTCTCAATGTTATTTTCGCCTTCGAGACAGGAGTAAGTGTTGTATGTCTTGTTTGTTTCGCATACACCTCTCTCCCCTATTTTCTCTCTTCCTGGCCAGCGCGTTACTGCTTGACTCTTGGCCGAGTATACGCGCGCTGGTTTATCGTAATATTTTTCGGCTACATAGCGAGATACGCTGTGGACATATACGTGCCCCCCCTCCCCTTTTCTTCTCACTACACTCATATTCCTCGACCTAATCACTAAGAATGCTGCAGAGAGACAATATTATCAGGCAATCTCGCATGCTATTTAGCCTGCTTGTTACGGCTCTACGAATGAATGGTTGCTTGCACGGAGACGCTGTTGAATCTCAGCGACTGACACATCATCCCGGAGACTTCAAGCCATTTATATTTGGAACGACTGAGCGCTGGAAGAGGTATGAATCCAAGTCACCATAGGAAATTTCGTTGAGGCTCACACTTTCTTCCTACCTAGAATTGCCACTTGCGCACTGAAAGTAGATACTTACTTGTCTCTCTTATACGGTCACCCGCCTTTGCTGCGACGCGACGAACTAGAGTTGGGCCTACCATCAACATTTGCCATGTGGAACTCGTACGGGATCATGGTGTTCTTCGACCGCAGCCGCAGCGAGCCATGGTCTCGCGACAACTATAAAATGTCACGGTTGAACGTGCGAAACCCCGAAGAAGTACCTTCCGGAATCTTGCCAGAGGACATTCAGCTATGTTTGCTCGGAATGTGGAATGATATCCGGTCACTCAAGAAAGAATCAATGCTCAATCGAGACATGGCCATGCTGAAAAAGGCTGATCTATCGCAGCAGCTGTATCTCGCCCTAGAACAGCTGGAAACCATTGTCGCCGAGTCACGAAAACCACTGGTCGCAGGGGGGTACACGGCCACGATTCTCAAAAGCTACCTCGGGGGCGAGCCCTCCCGCGGCCCAAATTGGCGACAAGAAGTGACGAACCGACTGGACTTGTGCATCTCCAACATCAGGCCGCTTCTACTCCTGCTCACGATCCATCTCCACGCGGACATCCACACCCTGCGAGAGATTTATCTCTCCCCCGCACCTCTTCAAATGGAGCCCACGGCCGCCTCGCAGACGTGGCAACAAAACGTGCTCAAGATACAAGAATGGGCGCTGTCGGCAGACGGGAGAACCGCAGCCATCGCGTCATTGCAGACGTGGTTCGCGTACGAATCATCGCTGCTGATCAACCCTGGCCAGTCGGCGCACGCCCTCGATCCGATTGTGTACCTGGCCCTTTCCGCGGCGGCCATGGTCCTGTGGGCATGGACAATGAACGACGCTGAGGTCTGTGTCTGTCACCCCACGACGCCAAAGGCAGAGGTCACCAGCAGCAGTATGCATCTACAGCCCGACGTGCAGAACTGGATTCGCGGCGGCGGCGGCGGCATTTCCTTCCTAGCCCAACCAGTCTGTAAGTGTACCGTTGCGCAGCGCCTTTCTACCTGGACCGAGGCGTTGGCGAAAGCCGGCAGGACGTGGGAAAGAGCTGGCGTGGACGCGAACATGTTCCGTTGCTCGTGGTTGGGGACGTAGGTGCCTGCTTTAGACGGGAAGACCCGCTCGGCATGCATGTGGAATTTTGTTTATCGTCATGTATTTGGGACAATACCAGAGGACCGAGGGGTTGGGATCCGCGAGGTGAGTGCATGGTGGCAGGCCAGGCATGATGAGGAATGATGCGCATTGTTTTGTTTTTTCTAGAATCGCTGTACAGATTTTTTCCCCGAAATTAAGAGAGAAATATACAACAACTTCCTGCCAAATCGCTCGTGCAATGTCCTTACCAGCTCAACCTTGTCCGAATATCGGAACCCCTTGAAACCTTGATTAATAAAGATCATCTCAAAATCTTGTACCTCCAAAAGGCGAAAAGAGAAGAAAAGAAAAAAATCCGGTTACTCAATAGACATGGCACTCCACTTAAACAGCAAAGAGCCCATATCGTCCCCCTTGAACCTGGGCCGCGGCCCCCCGGCAAACATCCTCTTGCCGGTTTCCTCGGGCAGTGCAAAACTGATATCCCTAAACGAGTTTCTCGCACCGTCCAGATTCTCAAAGTACCTCTTTGCCATTTGCGGCAGCGACGTCTTCGCCTGCCAGGCAATTGCCTTGATGGCCTGCAGAATATACCGGCACATGGGGAAGTCCCCCCCCGTCTCTCCTATGAGATAGGCTGCTTTGGCAAACAGGTGGTGCACAGAGGGGTCGGCCAGGTGGTATACCAGGACGAGGATGGCGTTGTAGCTCCCGGCAATGTTGATGCATGCGTAGTCGCGGAGGGTGTAGACTTTGATGAAGCGCTCCATGTTGTCGATGTCGATTTGGCAGAAGCTGAGCTGTAAGTCTTTGACGGTCCAGCCGGGCTCAATCTCGGTTTGGGGGGAGAGCGGTCGAAGAATACTGAAGAGGACCTCGTTCATGTATGTCCTGCACAATTGGTTAGCAAGGGGGTCATGTAATGGTAAAAAAAAAAAGGAAGGGTTGGAACATCTTGTACCGAAGATAGCATGTCTGGGGGGTAAAGTTGGTGTCATCTCGCAAGTTCGGAGGCAAACTTGCTCTCCACTGGCGTACCTCGTCAATCATATCTCTACGCCTATAGAGGTCCTGCTCAGTGCCCCATATGCTTTCCGACCTAAAATTCCAGTCCATTGATTCGTAGAGCATAACGGTTATATCGCAAGCTAGATACAATGCGCCGGTGACAAATGGGGGCGATCGACTCTCGCTGGTGTGCGGGTTACCAAAGAGGTCGATGTTAGGTACTGGTGCATCTTTTGCAGAGGGTGGTGGATCGAAGCACCGCGGGACTTGAGGCGGTGGTATCAACGACTGCTGCAAATACATGTATCCGACGATGCTGTCGATTGTTAGCCCGTCAACTTGAAGTAGCACAGCTGAGGAAATGGCAGGCGTCAGAGCTGAGACAAACCTCTCAAACAGAAAAAGCCCCCATGCTAGGCGGCACAGGACCCGTCTCTCACGGGCGGCTAGAGGATCGTCTTTGATTCTCGCATACATGGCATCGACATTGAGTTGGTGAAACATGTCATATGCCGACCGACGATATAACTAGCTCAGATGTTAGTACGTCGTTGCAGGGTGTGAAGATTTCTTTTCTCGATGAAAGTATGAGCAAGAAACATATTGTCGCTGAATTGCGCCTAAACACCGCAGCAGGTCCCCCCGAGTCCACTTACACCACCAAGTTTATCAGTGCCTCGATAACAAGCTATGGAGAAGAGTAACGTAAGACCCTGGACCGTCGGGATAGAGACTCGGCCATTCTCAAGATGCAGCAACTTCTTGGCCTCATTGAAGAACTCGTCAGCTAAATCATTCTTGCTGATACCACTGAACGCTCTAGTTCGCCGACAAGTATACTGCAGCACCCAGGAACAGTCAGAAATCTGTTATACAGGTCCCCCCAGTGATAGCATAGTCGAGATTGAATACTTACAGACCTGTCTGCACATATGGCATTGACAAGGAACGGTGTGCAGTACTTGCCCGTCGCAACATTTCCGGCCCTCATGTCTTCCAGAAACGCCTCCCGGTCAAGAAATGGCAAGTAAAAGGCATCGTCCCAGTTGAAAAACGATGAGACGAGCTCCGACACTATGCCATCGCCGGCCACTGCAGTCCACGGCTTTGCATCAACTCGAATGGCGCTTTCCCGCAACGCAAGCAGGTCCAATCTTTCCAGTCTCGAATCCAACAGAGCCGAATAAGAGGATGAATTGGGGTTATTGATCAGCAGGCTGGCGTCCTGGACAGACCGCAACACTTGGATAGGGTCGTCGGCAATCTTTAATCTCGAAATGACTTCCTGTCCTTCCTCGGTCGGCAGCTTATGCAACAGCTTGAAAAGCTCACGCAACTGGTCGTTCTCCTGTCTGAGAGAAATGTTGCGGTGTCTCAAGGCCACAGTACCGGCCGGCTCGTCCTCCTTGATGTCATTGTTACAAGTGACTCCTCTGCGGGCACAGGCGCCGCATGTCGGCCTCTTGTCATCGCACTTTTCTTTGCGCTTGCGACAATTGGCACAGGCAGAGGCTACCTGTCGACGTTTTTGGCGAACGATTGAGAACTTGTCATTGTTCTTGCCGCTGTGGATGATGACGGTCGAGGGGGATGGCAGCAAGAGTGGGAGTCGCTTCTCCATGGAGAGAGGCGGTGCCGTGCAGCCAACGTTGGTTGCTGCAGTCGAGATGTTGCCGAGGACCTCTGGTCGAAAGGACGTGGTCGGGAATCGGGATAGAAGCAGGAGTCAAGCAGGAGTCAAGCAGGAGTCAGGACCGTGGCAGTGTGAGGAGGCAGGCGTGACAAATTGGCATTCTCTGTACCGAGTACAGAGAATTGACTGTGCCCCCCCTCCCAGCGTCTGTTGTTTGTCTGAAGACCAACCCTGGCCGTGACTCCGTGAGCAGTGAGCAGTGAGCACCAGCACGGATCCCGATGCCGGTGAATCGTGATGTGCGACCCGCTTGTCAAGTATGGAGTAGCCCAGCACCCATGGACAAAAAGGGGTGTGGGTTTTAAATAATTGGCATCTGCAGCACTTGCAGCTTTCCACTTGGACCAGACACTTTTAAGCTGGCGTCTGCCGCAGTCGTGCGCCGTTTGGTGTTGCTGGTGATCTTGTGAGCCGTTCTGTCAGCTCTCAGACTTCCCATCATCATATTCTATGTACTCCGTACAGTACGGAGCACCTACTTGGCCAATCACAGGGTAGCATCGACGAAGCTTGTTCCCCTCCCCGCAGTGATATCCCCAGCCTGTCTCGACTCTCGAGTCTCCATCCTGAGCCGCCAAACTCTCTTCCCCACTAACCCGCTTGGCCCAGTCTCCCGATGCCCAGATAACTCCTTCTTCCGTACTCCGTGCTCCATGCATGAATTGTACATACATACGCAGATATGTATGCCGACGAAAGATGCTATTATTAGTGGCTCAAGAAGGCCTCTGATTGCTCAAAGAGCTACCGGCCTAGGTTCTACCCGGCAAATGATGGCTTGCTTCTCCTAGTTTCATTGCTCCACTGTCGATCCCGCGCCACGGAAGCGCTAGTCCAACGATCCGACTTTTCTCTCCGACCAGTTGACGACGGCACAGAAGACCCAGGTCTCCGGGCAGATTCAATTCCGCCAAGCATCGCAAAGCTATTAGTACATACACACAAGTCGTCGATACGTCGTCCGGGGCCGCTGCAGGGCGTTGCGGTTGGCTCGCGTAATATTATGTTGCACCGGGAAAGCACAATGGGAGCCTACCCCAACGTCAATGGCGTTTCTCCTTTCACGATATAATAATTACAGCACACACCGATATTCTGAAAGGAACACCACGCATGAGAAGCTTTATAATACGTTGTTGTCCCGCCAGGTATTCCCTCTCACATAGCTCCATCAGTCTCGATGGCGCATATGCTATGCGCATGTGGGCCAATTTGGCGGCTTCGTCCCATGTCTCAAAGCAATGTGCGTTTGCTATCTGTGCACCTTCGCCTCGGCGGCCTTCTGCGAGCCCTGATTTGCTAGCTATCTAGGTAGCTACCAAGGCACGGAGTAGTGCTGAGCAAAACCGCGCGTGCGGCCAAATCGGCTCCTTGCCTTGAAAAACACGTCGCACTTCCAAACACACGTTGGCGTCCACATGTGATTTTGAACATGTCGTTCTCGCTTTGGGATTGAGTAAAAATCGGAAACTAGACCTAGGGATATCTCTTCTCTAAGACCCAAGAATCGCTCGTCAAACGGCCCCGCAAAGACCAAAACCCGCAATCAGTCAGTCTTCCCCCGTCCGAATACAATGCAAAATAAAATGTGAAAAGTAAAAGGAGACATTGATAAGACTACCCGTGTCACAGTATCGAAATGCAACAAAAGAGAAAGTGTCGTCAAACCTCACCCAAACGCTCCCGCTCCAAGGGTATAGCTCGAGCGTTCATAAATCGGTTCAGTGGCTCGCTAACTAGGCATGAGTTCAGGGTAATATCATCACTTCATCTTGACATAGTTGCTGGGGAATATGCCATGTCTCGTCCCAATCATGCCAGTCCTACAATGCCAGTTAGCACACATTGTCATGCAAGGAAACAACGCACGCGACATGTCTACATACCACCAATCGTTGTCGCTGTCAGTCTTCTTCAACACAGTGATGATTTCACCCTTCTTGAATCCTAAATCTCCAGGCTGGTCTGCGTCAAAGTTGAACACCGCGATAGCTTCGTTCTGCTTCAAAGAGGCTTCCTTATCGGCACCGAACTTGGGCTTCGGGGCTGTAGGCCTGCCTGGGCCAACCCTCTTCTCGTTGGCCCCACCATTTGAATCGTTGTATCCTTGCCCCGATGCGAATGTATTCGATCGTGACGGTGGGTTGAAATCTTGTCGGTCGTAAACGTCGTCCTTCCACGTGCTGGATCGACTTGGTCTGCCGAATTCACCTTGTCCAAGCCCGGATCCTGTGCGATCTCGCTGAACTCCCTGGCCATAGGCATCTCCTCTGCGTCCCTCCCATACCACATCGTCATGGCGATCTTCGTACACGGGCATATCGTTGTACATGGCGTCGTCAGTTACGGAGCCAGCTCGCATGCCGCTAAACACTCTGGAGTTCAGAACAGACATGAGGGAGTCGGCCGCGGGTGGAGGAGGAACAGCCCCGCTCAGCAGCTGTTGGGCCGTGAATCTGGTCCCATACAGCTTCTCGTTTGCGTCGCGGCGCTCAATAATGGCCATCCCTTCGAGCGAGACGCCAGCGAATAAGCCCTTGGTCTTGGAGTAACTGAAAATACCCCCCACGCTCTTGAGAGACGCAGCACCAGCAGCTTCGGCGTTGCGACCTACCGGGCCCGCGGCGAGTGATACGTTTCCGCCCAGTGTGATGGACCCCATCTGCGCAAACGTCTTGACGGCACTTGCATCGTTGAGTACGAAGACGAAGTCGGTCAGTTCAAAGCCGATTTGGCCTCCAAAGCCACCTCCAGCCGCTGCAATAGCACTGGGAGCACTCCATGACCCGTCAGCAAGGCGAGCGACAACAAGACCACTGCCAACACGGCCAGACCCTAGAAAACCAGCCTTCAGAATAGTGATGATGGCGAAGCCTTTCGCATTGGACAGGATTGACGGCGGAATAACTTTGTCGGGGCCAAAGGCTTGTCGCGGGTTGACAAATGAAGTGAGGATCTTGCCGCACTTCCTACACTCCGCTATGGTTGAAAGAAAGCAGCGACGGTTAGCAGGATGGTCCGATGTTCCGGCATGCCAGCACCGGCCGGGTATTAAAACAACGAGATGGATCCGGTAACTCACATTTCAGAGATGCAGGGAGAGGGTTGTTGATTCCCATGGTGGTCTATCTCCTCGCGAATCTTCCGTTCAGTACTGGAGATTTGGGAAGCGCTTGGCCGAGAGAAATGGCGCGATGGGGATGAAGATGCGAGGGAGCCAAGAGAGGGCGACGAGGATTGGGAACTGATGATGTGACTGTCAGCGGACGGGTTGTGGTCTCTGGATGGAGAGCTACTTGGGGCGGGGTGGCGGGGGACTGACGACAAGGTCAGCGCCGTGCGTACATACGCCAAGCAGTGACTGCTTTGCAGCCGGGAAGGTGCCAGGCACATGTCTGGTGGCCCGGGAGGAGTCAGTTAGTCCGCCGGACCCCGTAGTTCGTAGCACCAGCAAGTCGAGCACTGCCATCTCCAGGCGTCTTCCTCACCAGTCTTGATCCACCACGAATGTCGTTTATTGCTGATGTGGTACTCCGTACTACATCTAAGTACTGAGTGCCAGCTCCGACAGCTCCGACGACGCAGGACCTCTCCCCTCGTCGGGGCCGAGCCAGCGCAGCATTGATATCCATCTACAGATACAATCCCTCTTGGAGCAATATTCTGCTCTTTTACTGTTAGTATTTATCCTGTTCCAAATAAACATCGTCGTGCCTCTCTGTCTCTCTGTCCTTGAAGCCGGCTGCCCTGCCGCCACGCCGCGTGGCGTGTGTGGCTGTGCTCTGTCACCCGTTGCATTTGAGACCCTGGCAGCCGCGGCCGGAGCGTCATCGAACAAACTACTGAGACCCAGATCCGCAACCGTCTCTTGGCCCCTTACCACTCCACAGACAACCAAGAAACCGTATCAATCAATCCCAACTCCACGCCAGCATCCACCAACAACACAGTCCTCAGCCATCCCTCACGTTGGACATTTCCCTACACCGTTCACTGCCCTACGAAGCGCCGACCACCGACGCCGAGCGACGGCAGTGCAGGCCAACCTCGTCTCACGAACCCCCGTCCCAGCCTCGGCAAGACCCTCCATCCCCAAGTCCGCATACCCATTGGTATCCTACAGCCTCGCACCATGTCCGAGGCCTACGAGCGCGAAAGGCAAAACGACTCCCGCCTAAACGAGCTTTCCGCCAAAGTATCTGCCCTGCGCGGCGTCACCGTCGACATCTACGATCACGCACGTGCCCAGGATGTCATTGACAACACAGTATGGCTCCTGCCTCACGCTCCCCCCATGAAGAAGGACCTGAACCCATCCCGAAGCACATCTAACGAGCCTCCAGAATGAAACATTTTCAAGCATGACGTCGCAGATAAAAACCGGAGCAGGGAGAATGACGAGGATGGCAGCGTCCGGCAACAAGGTCGCCATCTTCAAGCTATCAGCCATCATTGTCGCGATATTTCTAGTCTTTTATTACGGCTTGAAACTGGTGTTGTGAGCGCACACCCTACGAAAGAGGGCAATGATGTACGCGAAATGCTGACTCGAACGAAGCAGCCACATGTAGGGCTTCCAGGGCGGTGTCGTGTTGGCAGCGAAAGTTCTTATTTTGTCTCCTGGGGCCAGTCGTCAATACCAGACCCCGTAGATAGCTACAGACCATGCGGTCCATCGGATCAGCTAGCAGGCGCGATAATGGCCCGCTGGCTCGGCGCGGTGCGGGTGCGGCGATACCATATAAACGTTGGATTTTGTATTTCAACGGCATTGGAAACGGGGATCAATTACCCTTGGCATTTGGAGTTGGCGTTTTTGACAAAGTGTTTTATATATTAGCCTAGGCAACTATACTTGAGAGCACTTCTTGATCACTACAATCGTCACTGCAAACGGCGTTTTTCTCTGGACTTTTTGTGTAAACAGAAAACATTCTAAAACCCACCTTCAACCCCCCCTTTGGTTTTATGCTGGATTCTAAATAGACTCCCGACACGTGAACAACAAAACGCCACGAACATGCTTGCCTTCGATCCCTAATGCTTGAAGAATCCACCAATCACTACCGACCGACATTGTATTTCGTCGCACCGTCGTCTACTGCCAGACATTGGAGAACAGATCATCGTCACCGCCAAAGCCCGACTTTGGAACAGCAGGTTTTCCCGTATTAGACGGCGCAGTACTGCTTGCCCAGCCTCCAAACTCTTCGTCTGCAGTAACCTTTGGTGCAGGATTGAAACCCCCACTGGCGCCAGGCACAATTGGTGTACTGGCAAACGAAGAACTAGTATTTCCCCATCCGAAATCGGCTGCCGGGGCCGGGGCCGGGGCTGGGGCCTTGAGCTGCTGAGGACTCGGGGGTGCCTGTGCCACCGAAGCTGTTGGAGCAGCAGGAGCAGGCGTCGTCCAATCGTTGGTTCCCCAGACATCAGCAGCAGATATAGCAGCGGAGCCAAAGGCCGATGAGGTTGTTGCAGGAGCGGGGGCCGCAGATTTAGTCTGTGGAGAAGATATCATGAAAGCAGAGTTGGTCGTTGCAGAGGGTGAAGAAGTCTGAGGCAGCGGGGGAGATCTTTGCGTGGTTGGAGCCGAAAAGTCGAAGAGGTCGTCCATGGCGGAGGATGAGGACTGTAAGGGCTTAGGCGCCGGCGCCGTAGCTGTCTGTGTAGGGGGGGAGGAGAAGGGAGAAAAGCCTTCGAATCCAGAGTTGGAAGGCTTTTGCTGATGCGAAGTGGTCGACGGCTGGACAGGCTTTGGGTCAAAGAAGCCGCCTCCACTAAGACCACCGAACTGACTGGCGTTAGAAGTATGTTGGGGTTTGGCTCGATTGCTTGAGGATGTGCTTCCAAGGCTGGCAAAAGGGTCAGCAGCAGCGGGCTTTGCGCTTGCCGTGGTCGATAGATTCAGGCCACCGAAGGCATCATGAAAGCCTCCCATGGAGCCTTGCTGCTGGTGGCCCATGCCTCCAAACGCTTGTTGCTGAGGTTGTTGCTGGGGCTGGGGCTTGGGCGCGGAAGCATAGAGCGAGAGAATAGACTGCTTGAGGTCCGGTCGTGACTTTGCTCCTTGTGAAGTAGCCCCGGGGGTGCTGGCTGGGCGAGGAGGGGCAGTTGAGCCTCCCAGGAAGTCAAGGCCAAGCAACGAGTCTCGTGTGTTGGTTGTTTTAGGGGCTGCAGGCTCAGCTTTAGGTGCAATTTTCGCAACCGGGGGGCCAGCCGTACTTGATCGCGAGGGAGGCCCATCGTCACCTCCGATCAAGTCGGCCTCGGGCGCGCGAATTTGTTGCGGAGCGTGAGATTTCCCGATGGATGCCTTCCTGATCGACTCCTTCTTCTCGATAACCTGCTTCTCCTTAACCAAACTCAGGGGAACATCGTCATCGCCGTCGACATCCAGAGTTGCAGGGTCTGGCATGGGCCCGTCCATGACCCATCGCTTCAGTTCATATTTGGTTCGGATGAAGTTCTCGATCTTGGCTTCGGACGGCGCGTGGCCAGCAGCAAGTTTGGCCTCCCAGTATTTGTTGGCGCGGGCGTTTCCCCAGCTCAATATGCTCTGCATTTGTTCGTCGGTCCATGAATCGAGATCAACAGACTTGACTCTGCTGATGTGGGTTCCCATGCCTCGGTGAATACCAGAGCATCGAATACAGACAAAGACACCCAGATTCCAGCTGGCCCATCTAGGATCTGAAGTGACAGTCAGCCCACACACAGTATGATGGAGAAAGGTATCGATAGGGTCTGATACGCACGCTTGTTTTTCTTGCAGTCAGCACACACTTTGTTAGGCTCCAACCTCAGGAGGTTTTTGATAGTGGCCTGGTTTTGCGCCGCCCGGTCGGCAGAGGGGTTTGGTGCCCGTCGAGACATGTTGTAACGCTACGACTCTTCTCTCGAGACAATGATGGATGGTGTGGAATGGTGGACGGAGCCAGATAATCGCCGCCGCGAGGAAGGAAGATTATTACAGATGTCAAACACAAAAGGAGGAATGGGGTCGTTTGTGTGTCTGTCGTGGCGGCACCTAATTCCAGAATGAAATTGCTCCCACCCCCAAACTGATTGGGGTAAGTCTAGCAGTGTGGGGAGCGAGCCACAGCGTGGCCTAAATCTATTGTAGCAGCACAGGTCAAGTACCAGTACATGTAGCCAAGGCGACTGAGTCGACATAGTTCCTCAGGCACCAATCGGCTTCAATGATGATTCCATGTCAATGTTTCTGGTTGTAGCAAGGACAAATGGTCCAGAAATTCCGCTTCTTTTAATGCAATTGAACCTTGAGGCTGCGATTCACTTTCCACCTTGGCATGATGCTCCTTATCATCGTCTGTAGGATATTAATTTGCACGGAGTAGTTCAACTGCAGGCAGTGGTCCGTAAGGGAAGGACGGTTTGCCTATTGTACTTACATAAGTATGTACTTACTTACTAACGTTACTCGGTACTCCGTACTCTGCGGTGAACATTGAATTGTGGCTGAAGCCCGGCCCTTGTCTGGAATATGTGGGCTTCGAATTATGATGCAAGTGATTCCAAAGCTGCCGTACAAAGTTCAACAAGCCGGGTTCTACAGACTACACTTGGCCACCCCGCGATTTGTCAAACGCTCTTCTTGGCATCCCTGTCACCGTCAACGACCGTCTCAACGTTCACTCTGTTCAGTCAACTATAAGAGTACTGCCATCGCATCAAGCCGTCTCTCCGACATCTCTCCAACATCTCCCGCCCCGCTACATGTCTCCCATGCGATTTAGACCATTCGTATCAACATTACTGCATACCTTGTCCAACTTTACTCGCATCCGAGCTCCGGCGTCACCAGCTCACATCGCCACGCTTCGCCCGCTGCCTCTTCGATCCATGTCTGGTATTCCCTTTTTGGGCGCCTTGTTCGGATCATCTCCTTCAAAATCGACCAAAATGTCGTATCCTGATCAAAGGTCTGATACCGAGTGGCAGGCCGTCCTCAACAAAGGTACGTTGATGTCGGCGCGTGAGAGCAAAAGAAAGCTATTCGGGGTTTCCCACTAACATCAGCCCACAGAGCAATTTCGCATCCTGCGAGAAAAGGGCACTGAGCCTCCTGGATCCGGAAAGTTCGACAAGCATTACCCGGAAGAGGGAGTCTACACTTGTGCTGGGTGCCACAAGCCCCTCTACAAGGCCAATCACAAATTCAAGTCTGGCTGCGGATGGCCGGCCTACTTTGATAGCATCCCTGGCGCAGTTACAAGGCACGAGGATCGAGCTCTAGGCATGACTAGGACGGAAATTGTCTGCTCCAACTGCGGTGGTCACCTTGGTCATGTTTTCAAGGGCGAGGGGTTCGCAACGCCGACGGATGAGCGGCACTGTGTCAACAGCGTCAGTCTCAACTTTTCACCTGATGATAAAACTGTAGAGAGTGGTTCCAGGCAGAGCAAGGCGTAGGATGCACATGGACGTAGGAGCTGTGAAATCACGGTGGTGTTTGAGGAGCATTGCGAGCGGCGACGAAGCGGTGATGAGGCGTTGGTTGGGTATGAGGAAGTTGAAGAAGCGTGTGTGTCGTCTGGCCAAGGCATTACGACAGGTAAACGACGGCCAGGACTGACTATATATATCGAAAGCATCTAGGAAAAATTGACAATATATGTGAACATCGGCAGCCTGCAGTTCCGCCTGGCACGTGCATGTATTCAAGCGTAGGCTGGAGGTGCACGAATGGCCAGGCGCTCTCGGCGTTCATTGCCACCGGCATGGTCAAGTAATCAATGCCGCCCAGCAAGCAGTGCCACTGGAGTGATAGCGAATCATAACTGAAGGCAACATTGAACCATGTCGCCATTGCCCAAGCCCGGTCACGGACTCACGGGTCACAGAATTTACAACAAAGGCGCGGCCATGACGGGAGGAAATTGTACAATGCAGAAAGAATTGCTTGTGATGGATCAGGGAACACGTGGAACAATCGGACGTCGACCTCAGTGGAATTTCTTCTCGAAGCGGCAGTATGTCCGTCAGCGACTACACAACCGGAGCGCACGCTCTAATGTGGAATCTGGGGCCCTCGTGACGGGCACGGCAACGGAAATTCTTTGGCCAGATTCCATATGTCATGGGGCAACTCGAACATGTGAAAGCGACATGGAAGGACACAAAAATGTGGCTTCTGGATCTGAGGCCAGGACCCACGTTGACATATGCCTCGGTCGCGCAACCAGCTGACATCAGAGATGCGCCGACCGACCGCCATGTCGTCGTTCTCGCCGAGGTCAACCGATTGACCTTGCCAAGGACGGATATATAGCTTCGCCTCCCGCAAATCGCAGCGTCGTAGCCCGTCGTCGCCCACATCACACCTCTCACCTCTTGATTCCCGCCTTCATCTCCTCTTCTTCCTATACCTCCTTCACATCCACAAGAGCCAAAATGGGTGGTGAGTAAACCAGCTTCAAGCCTCGCCGTGGTTGTGCGGTTCGAAAAAAATACAGACTCTAACAGCTTCGTTGTGCTCAACAGCCCTTGACAGAATTTCTCAGATCGGCGGCCAGATCTCTGGCAACCCTACCGCCGGCGGCCGCGACAGAATCCTGGAGAAGCGCCCCGACGATGTAAGTCATGCTCAACACTACGTTTTCCCTTGCGGGGAGCTGGGCGGGACGTTTGGAGCTGACTATAGTCTTGCAGGTTGTCGTCACTGCTGCTTGCCGAAGCGCCTTCACCAAGGGTGGCAAGGGTGGCTTCAAGGACACCCAGGCCGCCGACATCATGGCTGGTGTTTTCAAGGCCGTCATCGACCGATCAAAGATCAACCCCGCCCTCGTTGAGGATATCGCCGTCGGAACCGTCCTCGCCCCCGGCGGTGGTGCTACCGAGATGCGCGCCGCCAGTTTGTTGGCCGGCTTCCCCGAGACCACTGCCGTCCGAACCCTCAACCGCCAGTGCTCATCCGGTCTTCAGGCCTGCATTGACGTTGCCAACCAGATCAGGGCAGGCATGATTGACGTTGGTATTGGTGCCGGCGTCGAGAGCATGTCTCTGAACTATGGGTAAGCTCTTCAAACGGTTTCACGCCGAACCCGGCCTAGCCTCTTTGTTTCATGTCCGAAATTCGTTCCCGTGTTGACAATCCAACGCTTTTAGTCCCTCTGCCGTCAGCGAATTCTCCGAGGCTTTGGAGGCCAACGAGGAGTCAGCCAACTGCAAGGTTCCCATGGGCGTTCTGTCCGAGGACATGGCCAAGGACCTCAAGATTGCTCGTGCCGACCAGGACAAGTTCGCCGCCTCCTCGTACCAGAAGGCCGTCAAGGCCCAGAAGGAGGGTCTCTTCAACGACGAGATCGTTCCCCTCAAGGTCAAGTTCGAGGACCCCAAGTCCGGCGAGACCAAGGAAATCACCGTCGCCCGCGACGACGGCGTCCGCGACGGCATCACGGCCGAGTCCCTCGCCAAGATCAAGCCTGCCTTCGCCGCCGACGGCAGCATCCACGCCGGTAATGCCTCCCAGATCTCCGACGGCGCCGCCGCCGTCCTCCTCATGAAACGATCCACCGCCGAGAAGCTCGGCCAGACCATCATCGGCAAGTACGTCGCCGGAGCCGTCGTCGGCGTCAAGCCGCTGCTCATGGGCCAGGGTCCCTGGAAGGCCATCCCCAAGGCCCTCGACCTCGCCGGCATCTCCAAGGACGATGTCGACATCTACGAGATCAACGAGGCCTTTGCCAGTCAGTGCCTCTGGTGCGCCAATGAGCTCCAGATCCCCCACGAAAAGATCAACCCCAAGGGCGGTGCCATTGCTTTTGGCCACCCTCTGGGCTGCACCGGTGCCCGCCAGGTTTCTACCCTCCTTTACGAGCTGAAGCGAACGGGCAAGAAGGTCGGCAGCACTAGCATGTGTGTCGGCACTGGTATGGGCATGGCCGCCGTCTGGGTCGCCGAGTAAAAAAGAAAATCTTTTTTTATCTTGACACGGCTTGAAATATAAAATGGATCTGTTCACTTGGGATATCGAATTTTGAGAGCATATATACACTTTAGTCCTACGGGACATTGGGATTAGGCAATGGTGTGAAATTCGGCTACAGACAGACCGAGTCACCCATGATGAAATGCGCATAACAAACTGTTATAGTGCCATGTATGAATAGAATATCGTATTTCACGAAAATTGCGTGGTTTTTTTAAAGACTCGCATAACAATGTCGTTCGATATGCCAGCGCTAACTGTAGATTCGTCCGTCTGTCACGCAATTGGTCTGTAGTCTATCATTATTGTTCCTCATACATCATTCGCACGCACACACACCCTCACATGGAACTGGCCTCTAAAATCCTTCAATCTGCGTACCAATCTTCTTCTCGCTGGCCACCTTGATCACATGCATGCCAACTACCAGATCCATCAGCCCCAATCCCACACTCTTGTAGACTACGGTTCCATCTCTCAGCCAACGGGCCAGGCTATCCTCCTTTTTCTTCTCCGTATCAGCCGAGCCTCCGGAACGAGTTCGGAAAGGAAGTGGGAAGCTTGGCTTGCGGGAATGGTTGGACAAGCTGGGACTAGATGGGCTCGCTGGCCGGGGTACTGGATCGCTGTAGACTGATGACATCGAAGGGGTCTTGTCGTCACCGTCTAGGGGGACTTCATATTCCGAAGACGCCGGCGTCTGACTGCCAGTAGTATCTGTCTCTGATTCCTCGATAGCGAGACGGTGAAGCATGACGAGTTCGCCAAGTCTGTAATCGAGTCAGTCATACATTCTCAAGACGGTATTTGCATACAGGGAGTGCGTACTCGACCATTTGATGGGGGCTGATTTTAGCAGAAATGATTTCGCCCGCTTCCTTCAACACCCCCTCGAGGGTATCTACCACGATGACGCCGCCCTCGTCTGCGTGCTTATGGAAGTGACGATGGTGCTTCTCATGGGGCTTTGTCACAAGATGCAAAAGGCCCTCGGGAAGCTCTCTCATCTCAGGGGTGTAGCTTCCAACAGCGACGATAAGTCGGCCCTTTTTGCGACCTTCGTGTGAGGTTAGGATAGATGCGTCAAACAGTTCTTGTCGCGACGGAGTGCAGCAATAAATAACGTCTGCGCTGCGGATCTGCTCCTTCTGGAGCCGTTCAAAGTCGTGAAAGGTTGGTGTTATAATACTAAATTTCGTGTGTGCCCATCCTTCCCGCTCCTTGATGTCCGCGGGGATGATGGTGAATTTCTTGAGGATCAGGCCAGCACTGTCGGAAAATCTTCGATTGATAATGTGTACATGTTTGATAGTGCTTCCACGCATGAGGAGTGCCAGGCGAACGTGCCAATAAGCTTGACTGCCACTGCCAAAGACGGTGAGAGTCTTGACATGGTTGCGGCGGGTAAGGAGACAGGCTGATCCAAGAGCGGTGCGAAAGGCAGTCAGAGTGCTCGCATGGACAAGGCCCATGGGACTCCCATCAGGGTGGAATAAGTTGACGACTCCAGTAGGACTAATAGGCTTCACTGTGGGATCCTGAGTGGCGGCTGAGGAAGTCAACGAGACAACTACAGGAGCATTAGTGACCAGGCTACGCCATGGTGTTCTTAGAGGCCGGTTAGGATTGCGAATCCACTTACTCTTGCATCCCATACCCTCCGGTCCGCAAGATGGCATGTATAGAGAGGTGGCCTTGGTCTCAGGGTGAAGCGTTGTGATTCTGTGGGGTTGTTGGTAGACATCGCCATCGCCAGCATCGGTGCCGGTAGAGAACTCGTGCAAAGCAGATGACAAGACATGTCGAAAATCATCCAGCTCGTCAATTGTAAGGCTCTCAAGGATGTCATTGACCTGGCTGTCTGTAAGAACGGTTAATGTCATATTGGCCCGCCGTCTTTGGTTGCGAACAAGCGGGGTAGAATCAAGAGACGGCTGAGCCTACAGAGGGAGGGGGATCAAGCACTAAGCCAGCAACGAGAAAATAAGCTTAAATATTGACAAGAATGGAAAAACAATGGGCGTCCTTCGGAATTCAACAAGATGGAGGGGTGGCGTTGAACAGCTATGGGGCCGTGATGTAAGAATTACCACGGCACGTTTTGATCTTGAGCAGAGCCAGAACCGCGGAGGTTTGAATCAATGGCCAATGGCAGGTACGAAGTGCGGAACAGCGTGTATCCCCACTGGCCGATGCTCTGGCGGCGACATCGGGGCCGATAATGACCGAGCAAAACGTTGTTGGGAGACAAGACATGGCGTAAAATTCTAGATTTAGAAACGAAATGCTATTGGCATGCGTAGATGCCCAATAGAAGATGTGATGGCTGTCCGGATTCATATCGTGACGGGCCTTTCCCACCTCGATGAGATTGCGTATAATGTTCCAAAGCCTGTGCACATGTGGCCATAGTTCACTTTACCGGTGACCGGCTCAATGACAATACAGCCTTGGGCCAGTCGTGAACAAACTTGACTGTTGATCTTTGTCAACCAAGCGATTGTTTAAGCTATCCGGGTACGTTGTTTTAAAACTTGGTTGGGGGCCCATGATTGATTTTGATTATCGGCAATCGCATCCGAACACAAACAAATGGTCTTTGATCTTTGACGGATCGGTTGCTATGTGTGGAAGCTGTTCTTTCGTTGCTGCCTGTCTGTGTTTGTCTAGGGTACGAGTACAAGTACGCATGTGTATCGCAGAGACAGGGCGGGCTGACGAGGCTCAACGGCCAGCGCATCCCATGCCGCGTAACTTCTGTACGTCACGCCACACCAGCAAGAGCACAACTTGTTTGTACCGAGCGAGCGGACCAGTCTGGTCCTTGACCAACTACAACCCACTGTAGAAGTACTTCGCTCGTATTCCTTTCCGAATGCAAACTTTATCTGCTCTTTCAACGTGCCATTCACAACGACTTCCAAGAGACGTTTCAGGTTTCGAATGCTTGGTTCTCTGCGGTCCCTTTGCAGATCAGTTGACATTGATTGACCTGTCTGGTTCATCCAGGGCACCGGATCCACCACGTCATAAGCTCTGCAGTTCTCCTTGCAGGGACCACCAGGTACACCCACTGTACATCTCACCTCAGGACAGCACCCTGAATCTCCCAGGTGCCTGGCCGTTTCGCCCCTGCACATATGTCCGTCACCAGACTCGCAAGGTGCTCAAGCTTCGTACCGGGACTTTACTGGTACCCCATAGGACCACTGGCCACTTTGCTGATTGGGACTTGGCTCCTTCCATGTCTTCAGTGCTGCCTTAACTCTCTCGTCGCCAAGCCACCACCGCACGCTGCCACACTTGACTGCTGCGCCAGCCTCTTTGACGGGCCCGCCGTTGGAGAAGAGGCTACGTGCGCCCCGACAAAGGTCCTGAAGTCTTAATCATCACTTCAACGACCACCAGCATTCCTGCATCATCATCTTCTCCCAGCCACGTTATCACCCTTGACCAAGCCCTACGATCCTCACTCGTGCAAGAGTGCAAAGTTGATTCACACAGCCTCTTGCGACTAGTCACGCTTTACGACTCGACACTGCTGTGCTGCGCTGCGCGCTCCTCGCACGAAACAAACCAAAACAAAACAGCTTGTTAGCAACTTCTGCGACGACTCTCAACATGTCGCTCAAGGAAGAGTTCCAGACCCGTAACTTCAGTAAGTCCATCGACGCGACCCGGCACAGTCACCAGTTATCGAGGCAACAACTAACATTGGCACAGGCATCTACGGACAATGGTAAGCCCATAAGTCCATATCCCCCCAAGTTCCCCTTCCATCACTCCAACCGAAGCAACACGATAGGCTAGAGGTGTGCCATCGGCTCAGGTTTATATAGCCGAGGGCACCACGATCATATCGAGCGAATCTGACAAGATTGGAACAGGCTCGGCATATTGTCTATGATCATCTGCTTAGCTACCGGCATCTCAACAATCTTTACCTTTAAAGTCGTCTTGATCATCTTTGCTGCCATTGCCATGTAAGTCTGCGCTGAATATTACAGTGACACCGTCCCCCATGCCGAGAAGGCAGACGCTGATTCTGATTCTGCAGCGCCTCGTCGTTTCTGATCTTGTTTATCGAAGTCCCCTTGCTTCTGCGAATTTGCCCTACCTCTGGAAAGTTCGATGACTTTGTTCGCAAAATTTCAACAAACTACATGCGAGCAGCCGCTTATGGAATCATGGCTTTCCTCCAATTCCTGAGCAATCTTGGTGGTCCCAGCAGCTTGATTGCTGCTGGTGTCTTCCTGACGCTCACTGGTATCTGCTATCTTCTTGCTGCTATCAAGGGCCAGGCCTTTGTTGGAAGCAAGACCCTCGGTGGAGCTGGTGTTGCGCAAATGATTGTCTAAAACAAATAAAGATTTGCCATATTCAGCTTCCTTTTATGGGATGATGCGTCTGTCTGCTAGGCGACTAGGCGAAAAGATAAGAGTGTCGTGTTCGGCGACGAAAGTGTCGGAGAAGTTGGGGAAGATGCAAAGAAGGAGATGCTTGGACGATGAGGTGGATTGACCTAATTATATGAATTATGCCTGGCCCGGTACCCCAGAATGTGATGGGCTGGATACCGAGCAGGACTGTTTGGCGTCGGGGATGATGTATGCTTGCTTAATGTCGGCGGTTTCTGTGCCAGCCGAATCGAGCTTGGTTGGTTTCCTATGGACGCTATTGATGAGCCACGCCGTGGTGCCGGACGAGTTCGCAGCTCAGCAGATTTGTTTATTTACCCAAAGGTTATATAGCTAGGTAGCACAGCCTTTGTTCTTCATTGAATGATAGAGGAAAATCGCCATAAGCTGAAGTCTGAGTGTTTCGAAAACAGGCTCCAACGCTTGTTGACCAAGGTGCAATAAAGATTTTGGACAGCCAGGCACTTACTCGGGTGGGCAGCAGTTGCAATTGAAAGGTTAGAGGCACCAGCTTCGCATTGTGAGCTGGATAATGAAGAGCTCATGTGGATCCTCCTTATCCAAGCCGTCCCGCCGTCCAATTGTTGATGCGGCGGGATCGAGGACGTTCAAAGGCCATTGACGTAACAACCCAATGCCGCCGTCATGTGAATTCAAGCTTTGTCGGAAACACTTGCTTGCCGGAAGCCAAGGTTTTTTTTTTTTGGTTCAACGGCGAGTAAACCGTTGGTGGCGCGTCCGTCTCCCTTTACTCTGTACCGAGGAACATGTCCATCCTGAAATGTGAAAAAGTAAGGCTTTCGTCGATCCTGACTGTTGCTTGCCTGTAACTTATGCCTACCAATGTCTGGTCGAACCCAATTACTTGGATGCATCTGGAAATCCGAGAGCAATTGCATTGTCGGGGCCAAAGGGCGTACGGAATCGTACTCGACTCCGAAGCAGGGAGCATGGGCTATGATGTGATGCATTTATCTCTGCCTGTTCGATCGAGATGCCGCCCAATACCCTGCCTGGCGCATATGACGAAGGCTGTTTAGTGCAGTCTGATACCCCGCAGCACGATGGGGAACCCACACGGTGCAGTGAAGTCGCCTCGCCTTCAGTGCTGTGATGGCGCAGCCTGCCTCCAGTCCCTTGCCCTGGTCTAAGTACCTTGACCAACACAAATATTGCCTGGGAAGGAGGGGGCAGGTCCGCTATGGCGTTCCTTGTACTGACTTAGCTACGCACATGCAGTCAATAGAACTGACTCTTATCACTATGTGCCCACTGAATGGGGCCGACGAGACTCTGATGCCACCAGACTCAACAGTTGCGTTGCACGACGCACGGAGTGCTGAAGCAAGAAGGGGTTCACAGAACCAACCAAACGTCTGGTTGAATAGGCGCGTATCGGCATGTGTCATGTCGAGTCTCCGCGGACATCTGGAGCCTACACATGTACTTTACCTACTCAAGTACTTTACTTAGTACTAGGAGGGAGCTAGCGTATTCCCTTTTAAAGGCCTTCCATGTTTTTAGTTTGCAGTTGCAGCTGCGGGCTCCTATACCCATGTAGAAAGGGGGCATATTATGCAGCGTTTCAATCAGATCGGACACTCTTAGTCTTTATTAGCCATGCAATGCACGTCCCAGGCCAGTAAAATCCTGATGGTCATCAGACTTGTCCTTGCACTGTTTGGTCGAGGGAGCGACCGACCGCTTGCAGCCACAGCGCTCAAGTGCAGGCCCTGCTGCGACGGTGCACCTGTGGATTTGTGGTGGGGATTGGTTGTGGAGAAGGCGCACTGTGTACTCCATGTCCGTTGCCAGGGGTATTCTTCAACATGCATGTGGAAATGCTTCTAGAGTTAGCCTGCAAGCGTGATAGATGTATTGACTCTCCGTTTTCTGAGTCGGCTGCCGTGAAGCGTCGTGAATAGTAACATGCGGAACGCGAAGCGTCACAAAAAAAGCCTGACCTATGAGAAAGTCATGCCGAAGCCCTGGTTCAAAGCAGTCGAAACGCTCCAAGTGCTCAGACAAGCCTCCCGCATCTGCGGCGTCATGCAACGGCCGGAAGGTTGGTTTGGACGCAGGTCCCTCCCCTCAATGCACCGTGCAGGGGCGCATACTTGGCACGGTGAGTGGATCGGCTGCTGGTCTGGTGACGACAAAGCCTAGTACAGGAATCGAGTTGGCGATTGGCATGCATTGGCTTACACGTACAATCAATCGTCACAGCCGCCCGAGTCTCAACGCCTTCGGGCTAAATTCGTCCTAGGTCTTCAACAACTCCTTTTCCCGTTTCCTCTGTGACTCAATTCAAAAGCTTTCTTCGTTGATCAAACGTCTGCATGTTGTAGTGACGACTGTTTGTCCGGTATTCGTACCAACCTCAAGCATCCATTGCACAGCTTATACAGAGTGAGTCGTCGTCCCTGGTCCAGCACATACCCTAATCAGTGATCACAAACATGTCGCTCGCCATTGGGCAGAGAGCTGGCAGACCTTGCATTACATCACCGCTTCTTCGCGCTCTGTATGTTGCGGGCAATCGCGGCCCGTTTGTCGCTGGCTCTCTGCCCGGCCCTGGATAGCATGACCCGTACCTGTATCAGCATCTATCTATCTTAAAGTCAATGGATGGCCCCGAGTCTGAGCTTTGGCATTCTTTGTTGGGGCGGCGCCTCTGGTACCTGGCGGGTTTTGCTTATCTTGCGTCACAATGGAGTCGGAGTGCTTTATCAGTTACCCATCGACCGCCCAACTGACAGTCCTGACCGCAAACCCTTATTCAAATCACTAATCTGCCCTTTGTCAACAGGCATGTATCCTTTATAGACTTTTGCAGTCTGTCAATATATTTCTCCAACTCACCTCATTGGCCCCTTTCGATTGTCCATCGGCAAGCCTGTTTTCTATCTATACGCCTCGGCACATTGTCCTTTGTCGCCCACAAGACGGAGAATGTCAGCAGCACCAATGGCGCAGACGCCAGTTGTACCGCCTCGACCCAGTAGGTCTTCGGGTAAAGAAGCTCCTACTCACCTCATGCCGCAAGTGCCTCCCCGGCCCGTCAACAAGCGCCTCGATCGATCCATCTCACCCGGCCGCGATCGCTTTGCACAGTCTCCGCTCACAGCGGGCATCCCCTCCGAGCCTGTTGACAATCGATTGAGCAAGCATTATGTGCAAAAAGAGCAGGCCGAAGACCCTATTGAACGGGCCAGCAGTGTCGGCATGCCCTCAGTCGGCGAGGAGGGCATGGAGTATAGTGCTGTAGCTGCTGAGTTGGAGGAGGAGGAAAGACGACCCTCTTCGCCTGAACAGACTCGATCTGTCGCCGAGGACCTGCAGCTTCATGCGCCCAAGCCGTCTCTTCCTGCTCAGAGCGCCAAGCAGCAGGTCATGGCCGTTACACGCACCGACTCAGACAGAGCTGCTTCTTTTGGAATTGGTCAGCCTAGCAACGGCGAAGACCGGGCTGTTTCTCGTGCGTCCACGAGAAAGCGTCCTGAAAGTAGTATCTCGGCGTACAGCGACCTAGGCAACCACACAGACGATGACCGTGGAATTCCTGAAATTGGCCAGCGTGTTCCTATGAACAAGCATCTTGGAGATGTTCAAGCACCTTCTCCAGGCCCCGAAATTTCCAAAAAGCATCACAGCCGAAAGCTCAGCGGTCGTGCTTTGCCCCCCGGCAGCTATGGTCTCCACGGTCATGGTGTTGTGCCACAAGACAAACTTGAAAAAGCGTATTTTCAGAAGCATCCCGAGGCCCTTGAGCGAGAGCAGCACACCCCTCGACACGAACGCCATAACGATTTTGCAATGAGCAGTTCTGATTTGAATAAACTCGTGAGAGATACGGCTAATCATCACGCGAGAGCTGGTATGTGCATTGCTTTGCATAAAGAAACTAAAATCACTCATTGACGCGTCAAAATAGCCTCCGTTGAGCTCCGTGGCACTCCCACCGATGATGTTGCTTTTGAGGCCAGTGAGAAGTATGCATCTCGCATCTCATCATCTCGACCCGCCTCTACAGTTTTTGCAGACGGGAATGCTCCTATTTCTTCCCAGCATGCAGCAAACGAAGAGGACAATGCTATCCATGTAGATGATAGCAAGAACCCCGAGTTTTATTCCTACGGAGAGGGCAAGGTGGATGAAGAATCTGAAGAGTACACCGCTCCTATCCTTGCTTCGGATGAGCTGAACAAGGACCCCAGCCCTCATGTACATCAACCTGCCATCCGCCCTCATCTGGAACGCCGTGGTAGCTCGTTTGATGGAGAAGACCTTCCAAGCCGTCCTCCAAGCCGCCCTCGGGTACAACGCTATCAATCCCATCAACAGGAGGTCAAACACACTCCCTTAGAAGATGTAGAAGAGTACGATCCTCTCTTCCCGGAAGATGGTAAGGAAGAGAAGTCGGGCGAAAAGGAGGAGCCGGTTGATGAGAATTGTGATCGCCGACACTTTCCAAGCAAGGATATCTGGGAAGATGCGCCGAACAGTGTCCACTACACTGCTGAAGTGTCAACGCCTGACGTGGCTGAACCAGAGAGACGCCGCTCATCCGCCCAGCCTGGTGATCGGCCCATCACGCCAGCGCAAGCTTTCGCTCTGTACCAAGAAGAATTGGCAGAGAAGGAAGCCAATAAGCGTGGAAACACGTTCTTGCCCTTGCAGGACTCGAAGCCGAGTTGGGTTTCCCATCAGCCCCACTTGCAGACTGAGGTGCGTCCAAGCTCTGGTTCGAGCAGACGTTTCCCTAGCAGAGATATTTGGGAAGATGCCCCCGACAGTCACATTCACCAAGCGGAGGTTTCTGCCTCGCCAGTTGATGCCTCGCCAGTTGAGAAGACCAAGCCAGACATCCCAACCAAAGCAGTTAAGGAGGCCGAACTATCACCCGAGCGCCCCGCAGTCCCTGATCGACCCAAGGGAAGGCAGAACAGCGGAGATGATGCTGTCAAAGCCCGGCCCCCTGTTTCAGATAAGCCTAAGCCTTCTATTCCTCCTCGACCAGCTAAGAGCTCGCCCGGGGAGTCCAAGGATGGTATTTCATCGAAGACCAAGCCACCGGTCCCCAATCGTCCTGCTGGTGGCAAGATTGCGGCCCTCCAGGCAGGGTTCATGAGTGATCTGAACAAACGACTCCAGCTGGGGCCCCAGGGCGTCAAGAAGGAGGAACCTCCCAAGGAAGAGGAAGCCGTCGACGATAAGGAAAAGATACCTTTGTCAGATGCACGAAAGGGACGTGCCCGTGGCCCTCAGCGTCGCGCGCCTGCCAAGAGCCCGGCCGCAGCAACGTCATCAGAAGCAAAGGCCGCTGCTCCAGTGCTCTCATTTTCTATAACACAGACAGTGTGGTCTGTCGATCCTGAGCATGGGGGCTTCTCGTTTAGCAACAAGGACGATAGCCCTGCCAAGGAGGACACAAAGCCCGAGGAGCTGTCAACTGCTCTGAAGCCAGCCCGGATGTCTGCTGTGGAACCAGAGGAGGCCAAGGGGGCCCCTGAGCAATTGGAGTCTGCAAAGGAAGTTGCTGATTCAGAACCTATATCCAAAACCGAGAAGTTGAAGCTACTAGATGACGAATCTGCGGGAGGACCGGATATAGAAGAGAATATAGAAAAGCATACAAAAGACGAGAGAAAGAAGGATATTACTCTGGCGTCGAATACTGCTGGCGAGGGTATTCTTGAAGCCACCATAAAGAATGACCATGATGAGGTTGAGCCCATAGAAGTCCAAGAGGATGTTAAGTCTTAAGGGGTTACAATGTTGAATACAGGATACGCACGTTGGGGGTTCTGCATTGTTTAGCTATCAGGATGAATGGAATATGCTTCAATTTTCTGCCTCAATATTTTCTTTCATGATTTCCCGCTTGTAGTCATATTAAAATTGGTCTTAGGCGTGATATTTGAGATGGCGACATACATGAAGAGCGTCTTATATTGGATTGTACCTGATGTGTGCTTTGTTAAAAATACATTGCATTTGCAGCATCGATTACTCGTCTTATTCCGATTTATCATTGTTTTATTTTCCCGAACCTACCTACTTCCCCCATGAACCACGTTCTTGATCAGCACCTCTCCGCTCTCTTTCCACCAACGCGTCAAATTCTCTCTGTGCCTGCACCTTCGCCGTTGACTTTTCCTCGTCTGTGCTGGAGTACGAGTAGTCATCCCTGGGGCCACGATACTGTGCACTGGCATCAGTATCGCTGGCCCATGCGCTGTTGGCGCCTTGCGGCGCCTCCCATGACTTTTGGTCCCGTCGGGTCTGTCGTGGCGAGTACTGGGCCTGCTGTCGTACACGATCCCATGCGGAGCCGCCGTAGGATTGAGCCCCTTCAGCCTGTGATCTAGGTGACGGTGCCACGGGGGATGCATCGTCAATGTCGTCTGCTGCGTCCCAACCCCGTGGAGACTGCTGCGCTGGTTCGGGGCGGCGATACGAGGCCCATGTTTGTTGCTCTTGTGCTTGTGTCGGCTGAGAAGGTCGCTGGTAGCCGTCATTGATTTGTGACGAGTATTCTTGTTGTGATTCAGGTCTCCAAGCATCTCCGTATTGCTGGCTATTTGAGTCCTGAACGGCGCCGAGGACCTCGCCAGTCTGTTTCTTTCCGTCTCGCAGCAGCGAGGCGAGCCTTGGGTCCTTGTCCATGGAATAGCTCTGGCGCAGGAAGTTGACACCCTGGAAGATTGGCTCTCCAATGAGCCAGAATGTGCCGTAGTATGCTGCAAACCGGGCAGTGTGCCACATGATGCGGACTTGGGGACCGCCGGTGGCGGGGTTGAATCGTCCGCCTGTAATGACGGGCTTGAAGAAGGGGAACCGCATGGTCTGCCGCCCGCGGTAGGCCATGTATCCTGCTAGACCGGTCATGACCCATTTCCATGCCAGCATGTTGTGAACGCTGGAGAGGAAATGCTCCGTCAATGCCTGCGTCTCAGTATCACTTAGGTTCCTGTCGGTGCCGGCGGCCAGGCCCAAGACGGTAGACTCGGCTAGCGCAAGGGTTTGCGTGCGGCCGAAACCGCGCATTCTGGCGTAGAATGGAGCCTCATAATCTGAGAAGAGCCTCTGGATTTGTTCGTGAATCTGAGGCTGGTAGTGTTGCCGGTTGACCATGGCTTTGTGCCGTCGTTCTTCAATAGCAGCCCGGACATTGCGGGTATACTCTGCCCGCGTCATGCGCGGCGGATGAACCTCCCCGTCGTTTGGCCTCTCCATGATGAAGAGACGAGAATTGGTGAGAGCCGATGCCTATTGCCAAACAAGGAAAACCTGGCGGATATGTCGATTTGATTGAGCAGCTGAAGGACGGTTCGACAATGACGCACGACTCCACGAGAAGCGGCTGTATCCGGGGTGAGCTTTATCGATAAGATTGAAACAGCACGTGATGGGGCCACTGGTTGCCATGCGGGCTCGACAGGGGTCGCGTTGCTTGGCGGGGCTGGACGCGGTCGGAAAGTGCAGGACGCGTCTTCCATCTGGCCATCGATCTATCATCCCTTGGCTTGGAGGGCCAAGTTTGTTTGCACCGAATTACATCCCCACATGGCCGATTCGTCTTGGTGAGCTGTGCAAAGGCAAAGGCGCCTAATGATCTAGCATTGTGAATGGTTATTGCCAAAGATGCCGCTTCAGAAGTCATATTCTGAGAGTATAGGCTTGTCGAAGGTAAGAGACACCCGTTAACCAGCTTTGCAGTGTTTTACTGGCCGAGCCTCGTGTTGATTGACTTGAGAGTAGAACCGCGGTCCGTGGCAACGATCACACAGCCATCCTGCCAATTTACAGGCACAAAGACCAAGACCGTTACCACCTGTTTCCGATGTTACGAAGAAAAAACTTAGCAGGTTCCAATATAGACCTGCCGAAGATGAGTCTGTAGCTTCCGCTCCGGGTGAGGCCAGTGGTACACCCACCAAGCCCCAGGACGCCGCAGTTGCAAGAGCTGGCGTAGTGGGAAACGCTGCCACACCGGTGACTCGGTTGAACTGGAGAGACTTGCTTGAGCCGAATGCAGCCCCAGCGGAGAATGAGGCCGATATTTCTTCCCCAAACGACAAGCTGCTTTGGAATAACCAGCAAGACACGCTGTATGCAGCAGCGTTATCGCCGATGATGAACCGGAAGGGCAGAAAACGTGCCCGAAGCTCCTCGCCTATATCATCGCCGGCTACGGACAAGGGGGGTTTGCCAGCAGTCAATGTCGACAAGTTGAGAACGGCTCTTCGATCACCCCGCGTTGATCCAACCGTGGAACTGTGGGATCGATATTCGCTGAATGGATCGGAAAACATAACCACGCCTAACGGAGCCATGAATCCTTCGCTGGCACAGCTCACGGTTTCATCATCACCAAAACCATCGAAGGACATGTCTGCTCGTCGAGGCGACGCCAACTTGCGGAGGGCAATAAGCTGTGGTTTAAATTGGCCAAAGAGAAGGAAAGTAGAGAGATCTAAATCGGGAAGTCAAAGCAGTAGTCAGCAGCGGGAGATGGAAGCAGCATCGAAATCGTCTCTAGTCACAGCATTATTAGACACAGTCACGGGCACCATTAACGAGCCAGGCCCCAGTCGGGCTCAGGAGCAGCTCATGAGATCGCCGTCACCAAAGAAGAGAAAGCGGTCGCCGGAAAGAATGGAGACGCCGCGACGCGCGGAGAAATCAGCTGAGCCGTCATCTTCATCTTCCGACTATGGTGATGATTTCGATGACGATGTTTTCGTGGAACTGGAAGCGAGCATGCAAGCCACAGGCACTACTAACACTCCACTACCAGACAAGATCGATCAAGGCCAGCCGGGTCGACGGAACCATGACGGGAAAAGCCAAAGTGTCATAGACCTGGTCGAGGAATTCAACGACATGGATGATGATGATAGCGTTTGTGACAACATTGTGCAATCACGACAAGCTCTTGGAATTTCAACGCCCAAGAGACATTCCAAGAACCTCCCGGCTGCGAAACTTGAAGAGAGTCCTGGTGATGAATTTGGTAACGACCTAGATGGGGATATCGACTTCGATGCCGTGGAACTGGCCGCGACTCAATCGATACAACAACTAGAGCCGCCGTCCAAAAGTGTAGGTCAAAGTATTGCGAAACCACCCCAGTGCTCCATTTACTAAATCAAGGTAGAGACAACAAAAGGCAAAAACAATCCAGCGATATTTAGTGACAGGTGTTCTAGACGGTGATTTCGTTGATAAATATCGCGTGACTAGACCAGAAAAGGCTTGTTGACCTCCGCTCTTCAAACGACGATTCTAGCTAACTTCAAATCAGATTCTCATTATTCAAGCCGATAATTCGAAAGTCACCAGGACGGTACATCTTCGGGGTGCTTGGTTCGAAACACCTGCACACACCAATTCTTACGTCCACGTTATTGGCTCTTTTTCAGCTCGCGGCCAGTGCATTATTGATGATGCACAAAACCTTTTGATACTGCACCCAGATCAACTTATTTCATCCACGGTTGTTGCGGACTCGTTCGGCTGCATGCGTCGAGCGGTACTGCAAGATCGTGTTAAGGCTACCAGCGAGGCTTCTCCCCCCCTTGTCTATGGCACAATGCTTCATGAGATATTTCAAGAGGCTCTAATGGCAAACCAGTGGGATTTGCCATTCCTTGGCTGCATAATTGACAAAATCACCGAAAATCACGTGGAAGACTTGTATACGATTAAAGTTGGGTTACCAAGCGCCAAAGAGCATCTCCTATCAAAAATGACCGAGTTGAGTTACTGGGCAAAGGCCTTTGTCGCGCCAAAACCACAGGTATGGACCAAACACGTGCTGGTATCATTCCATGTTTCAGTGATGTGCTAATAATCTGGTACAGGATGATGCGGTCGTGGAAGATCGGAATGGGAAGAAAGCAAACATGGCGATCACAAAGCTACTCGATGTCGAAGAGCATGTCTGGTCGCCTATGTATGGACTTAAAGGCAACATAGATGCCACTGTTGAAGTCGCTATGTCAGATGGGGAACAAACAAGGACCCTAACAGTGCCGTTCGAGGTCAAAACTGGCAAGCATGCCAACAGCAGTCATATGGCCCAAACTGCACTTTATACTCTCCTATTATCCGACCGCTATGATATCGATATTGCCTATGGTATTCTTTATTACATGGAAACGTCGAAAACTCTGCGCATTCCTGCAATCCAACACGAGCTGCGACACATGATTCTCCAAAGAAATCAACTGGCGTGTTACATCAGAGAGAGGAGTGTACAGCTGCCGCCGATGCTGAAGAGTAAGCATATGTGCGGGAAGTGTTACGCCAAAACGTCATGTTTTACTTATCATCGCCTTGCCGACGACGGCGATGGTGAATCTAGTGGCATGCATGAAAAGTTTGACGAGCTTGTCAGACACCTAACACCAACTCATCAGGATTTTTTTGTGAAATGGGAAAATCTCCTCACAATGGAAGAAAAGGAAAGCCAGAAGACGAAGCGAGAGCTATGGACAATGACGAGCACCGAGCGTGAGAAAAAGTCGAGATGTTTTTCTGATGTCATAATTGAAGAAGGATCCGCATCTGTCGACACTCTTAACCCGCGCATCAACCGGTTTCATTACACGTTTGTTAAACGAAACCATCAACCTAGCTTTTCTTTCCTGGAATCAGAGTTGATGACCGGGGAGCCCGTGGTTGTGTCGGATGAAGAAGGCCATTTTGCATTGGCCATTGGATACGTTACTTCAGTTCGCAAGCAACGGATAAGTGTTGCGGTCGATCGAAGGCTGCACAATGCCCGAAACCGTCAACTTGGGTTTGATGAAATTGATAATCAAGTGTTTTCCAGTATCATGGATGTGACACAAGGAAAGTCCCCAGACCAGGAACAATCCAACATCAAGCACCCGCCTGTACGATATCGACTTGATCAAGATGAGTTCAGCAATGGCATGGCGACTGTAAGGAACAATCTTGTACAAATGATGGCAAATGACGTGCCTGCAGCGACTCAAATACGACGCTTAATTGTTGATCTCGCTCCCCCTCGGTTCAAGACGGCCCCAACACAATACACTGTTACAGACGGAGAAAATCTCAATGTTGACCAGAGGCGAGCCATTGAGAAAGTCATGAGCACACAAGACTACTCCTTGGTTCTTGGTATGCCTGGCACCGGCAAGACGACAACAATCGCACACATTATTCGAGCACTTGTATCGCAAGGCAAGACCGTATTGCTTACATCTCATACCCACACGGCGGTGGACAACATTTTGTTAAAGCTTAAGACCGACAAGATTCCGGTGCTGCGTCTTGGGGCACCGGCAAAAGTTCACCTTGAGGTCCAAGATTTTGCTCATCTTGCTGGCCAGCCCAGGAAAACCTTTGACGAGATTAAAGAAGCTTGGCATGGCACGCCCATCGTTGCTACTACTTGTTTAGGCATCAATCATCCGGTTTTCCAAGAGCGTTCGTTCGACTACTGCATTGTAGATGAAGCATCACAGATTACACTCCCCATCTGCGCCGGACCTATTCGAATGGCACGCTCATTCGTTCTCGTTGGTGACCACAATCAGCTACCTCCGGTTGTGCGGAATGAAGACGCACGGGAAGGTGGTCTCGACGTAAGCTTGTTCAAACTACTTTCAGATGCTCACCCGGAGGCGGTTGTCAATCTTGAGCACCAATATCGAATGTGCGAGGATATTATGACGCTTAGCAATACCTTAATTTATAACGGGAGGCTGCGATGTGGGACAGAATCACTACGAAGGAAGAGACTTCATATTCCAAATATCAATGCTCTTGGCCAGGTTCATTTCAGCGCATCCTCGTTGACACATCCAGGAACACCACGATCGTTCTGTACTGGCCCTGGCCCGTCTCGCTGTTGGCTATACGATCTCCTGGAAAGCGAGGCGCGAGTTCGGTTTGTCAACACTGATACAATAAGACCTCTGGTTAGAGAGGAGGCTCAAGGAAAGCGAATTGTGAACTCTACAGAAGTGCGACTCGTATCGCAATTGGTAGAAAGCCTTCTCGCAGTTGGAGTACCTGCGTCCGAAGTAGGTGTCATGACTCATTACCGAGCCCAGCTGTTCCTTTTGAAAGACCGTCTGAAGGGCTACGCAGGAGTTGAGATGCACACCACTGATCGATTCCAAGGACGAGACAAGGAGGTTGTCGTACTCAGTCTTGTACGGAGCAACGAAGCATGCAACATTGGAGACCTGCTTAAAGATTGGAGGAGAATTAACGTCGCGTTTACGCGAGCCAAGACAAAGCTTCTGGTTGTAGGAAGCATGAATACCTTGAAACACAGTGGAAAGGAGAACATGCTAAGCAAGTTTATTTCTTTGATGGAAGGGCGGGATTGGATATATAATCTGCCAGCAGATGCCCTTGAGAGCCATTATTTTGAAGAACTAAGCACACCCATGACTGCTGGCCCGACACCAAAGTCAAAGTCCCCTAAGAAGACAGTGAAGAAGGGAGTATTCAGCCTTGAAGGCAAGGAAAATCGCCGTCCATCGCCAAAGAAGGCGAGGATTGGGGAACGGGCGCTTTTGAAAGGAAAACTGGTTACAAGGGACATCCTTAATGAAATGACGAATGGCGCATACATGGGGGTTTAGGAGCAGAGACATCTTTTGATTTAAACCTATGGATACGGAAACATGCTAGGTTGGCGTATATGTACGGGGTATCAATTGAATACTAAATAGAACTTGGCTATTAATCACCATTTTGCACGTGATTATCGTCATCTTCGTCTTCATCTTGAAATTCGTCGTCGAATCTGGTGTGAATTAATTAGCCTAGAGGTCCTGAATAAAAGAATGCTCAAAACAGACTCACCCCTGCTCCCCAACTATAAGTTTTGTATACTTCTCTAGCTCCTCAAGTTGAACTACACAGCCGGTTAAGCTCTCACTGTATGAAAAACTGTAAACATCGCTCCACTCCTTATGCTTTTTTATATCATTTGGTGGTGCCTTTTTAGACATGTCTTCTTCGACCTCGGCCGTTTTGACTAATAGCTTTTTTCTGGCTGCAGCAGCGCTTGGCATATAGAGCTGTGACACCAGTCAGTTTTGCAATATCATATACTGGCAACTTTTGATAGCCTTGACATACGGGTACTTTTCGTTTAGATCGAAGAGCGCCAGCTAAAATGTATAGATTGCCCAAGATGGCGGCTACAGCGTCGCGACGGTAACTGAGGAGTTGTTGGGCAGCCAAGGGGTCGTCTCTGATATAGCTTGGGTTGTAGAATATGGCGGACCGGCGAACGGTGATAAGGTGATCAAAGAATCTTTCGCATGCGTCTGCCAATCCGGAATATGAAAGAGGGTCGAATGGCGCGCGCAGTCGAATTTCGTGGCGGGTGAGAACCTGCATGACTTCCGGTCAGAGGAAGCTACGTCGAGATGGGATAGCATACGTACTAGAAGCTGGCGAATTCTGACGAAACCCTCTCGCAGTCTCCCTTCGAGTATCTCTGACCTCTGTATGTCTTCCGGCTTCGGTTCTTTGCCGTCACTGAAATATACATAGCTGCCAACCACGTCTATCAGGGTTAGTGTGGTCGTCAGCCATTATTGGAGGCTTTACTAACTTCTGTATAGGATGCTCATGAAGAAGAGCATTGATGAGAGTGCGTGTCTTAATTCACGGCGGGCCACAAAGGGCCACAGGACCCAGTTGACTATTATCGGCACGGCAGTTCCAATGAAAAAGGCTAGACCATTAAACACGGCAAATGTCGTGGGAGATGAGCCCCCACCGTGTGTTTGCAAACCAAGAGACGTTACGGTAAAAGAAAGACAGCCTACAAGCCCTGAACGCTAAATAATGCTTGTCAGAAACCAATATAAAGCAGCTCCCCCCCACCAAAGAAAAAGGACACTTACTGGATGCGAACTTATGGTATATCGATAGAGCATGGGCGCCATGTACAAAGCTGAAAAGACGCCCATAACGTACGGGCTTCCACCTCCAGCAGCGTATCCTATCCCACTCCAAGTTGCCCCTAGAATAGCTACACCTGACCTAGTTACTAGATCTTGTATATTTCCGCCGATTTGCGGATGCATGACTGCCCAGCTCACTACAACTACCCACCACACCTGGTAGTAATCCCACCATTCATTACTTTGAGGAAGATATGATGGTACTGACAAGAGGGATGTGACAAGGCAGACTTTGAAAGCATATCTACTTTCAAAACCTTGAAGCCGGTACAACCCTGTCCAAATCTTGTATCGCAATTTTCTCTTTTTAGAAACTGGGGCGATGCTTGCATCGGAGTTCGTCATGGAGCGGTTAAATTCAGCTTGCGGTTCTTCTTGAGCCTGCCCATGCTGAATCTGCGATATCGCCTTGTAGTCTAGTGACTTGATCTTGTCGAGAAGCCTGGCGATTTCTACAAATGTCTTTTGATAATACCCCGCAGTAACACCGCCTCGATCATGACGTACTTGAGCGTTGGTTCGATGAATTGCTTTCCAAATAGGATAAGACGGCAAATACGCGTGAGGCCAGTCTGGTACCCGTTGCATTGAGGCGACTTGGTCCATAAGAGCCTCGACTGTTGCAATGGTTTCCCTAGCACGCCTTGCAAAAACCAAGAGTTGTACCACGTTGGCATCGTGAATTGAAGATACAGGGCTATCATTTGAGTGTAGAATAGTTGATTCTACAGTGTCAAAAGCCGCAATTGCAATTTTTGTTCGTATTTGAACTGGTGCAAGGTCCGAAGAAACCACCTCTGATGGGCCCAGGTACTTTCTATACCCAGATAGATCCATTAGCACGGCGTCACAAACTCGTAGATCTTCCTTCAAGCTATCGAGGAGGTCTTTTGTCGGAGCTCGGAGAGGTTCAACGACATTGCGGATCATGTCATCTGACGCCGTTTGGACGACAGAATGGATATTTGAGCTTGAAGGGGGAGACTGTTCGTCGACGTTGTTAGAATCACGCCGATCCACGATGACCACACAACCCTGTCCTGAGCGTGACTCATGCAGAAGCTCAGGTTCAGTTTGAAGCGACAGTAGTGCTCGTATCACAGCTTGCATTTTGTTGCGTAATTGTTCAACATCGTCTGGTCTGAATCTTGAGACCGTAATATTGATCCTCATATCTCTATACGCCTCCGAGAGATTCACAAAGGCATCGGCTAATCGCCGCCTCGGTCTCATGCCACACGGTTGGTCCGAGAGATCAAGGGCTTCCTGACGCATAATCAGCCAAAACATATCATTCCCATAGGGAGAATTGCACAGACCTGCATTGTGCCAAACGCTTGATGTAACGCCGTGGCTAGAGCTCTGGACCCTGCGTCTGGGAATATTAGAACATTAACAACCAATGCAATGACTTGCCCAAAAAGCCATGAAACAGCGTAACTGCGTAAATTATTCCAGATGACGCTTTGGCTGTTTGTGTCCGCCAATGTCGTGAACATGATTGCTATTCCAGCGCAGAGAACTGCTTGATAGAACCTGATAAAGAAGGCACGAATACAAGCCAAGGCAAGCATGAACAACGCAAGAAACATGGCCAAGATGCCGCCATAGCCAGCACTGGCGGCAAGAGTAGAAGTTGATAAGAGAAGACCTATTATACCCCAACCAATTCCTATAGCTGTTCCCAAAATGGTAAGAACCGTGCCCTCGATTTGGCCTCCTAGGGTGCGAGCTGGGTGGTTGAGAATGACGGATATAACCATCATGTAATTGTAAGGGCCGAGCCAACCTCTTACGCCGGGCGACAGGCAAAGACAATACGCAATGAAAAAGGCTGAAAACGTCTTGAAGAGTCGAATTCCTTCTCTCGTAGTTGCTATCCGGCGACAAAGAGAATTCAGTTGATGCCACTGTCGCGAGACGAAGTACTTTGGCGCTAATGGGTTTGACTTGTCAAATTGTGCCGGTAAAGTGGTCTTTGAGCGCTCCAAGAGATCCGCCACATTAAGATGTAGTGGCTTCAGAAATATAGCCTCAAAGAGTCCCTCGCGGACCTCGGAGACTCCATATGTGTCTTCATCCATGTCATGGTCTGAGAGCACCTGATCGATCTGAGCAATACTCATGGCGGAGCTACGACGACTTTCTAGGCGCGGCCTCGAATGTTTTGTAATATGTGGCCTACTCAAAGAGACTTGTATTGGAGGATCATCTTCCAAGTTTCCGGGGGTGTCGTCTTGGACTTTTATACGCCGTCTAATGTCATCATCGGCCTGAGCCTCCGTATCTTGATTGTCGCTCGACATACTGGCGTCGATTTACTTCTGCCATTGATCTGAGCTGCTTAGCAAAGGTCCCCATAACAATGACAGGGGAGCGGCCCCAGGCGTTTAGCAAAAGTTGTTTCCTCGAAGCCGGGCGGTTGTGTGAAGAGATGCAGCGCAGGCTCTTCTTCTTGGTCCCATTGACTTATCCTGGTCCGAAGTCTTGGCAGGTTCAGCAAGCCCCTCCTCAATGCCCTCATCGAGAGGTCGCGCCTTCCCCATGCTTGCCGCTGAAGCCTTCTCACACCTGCTCCATTGATAAACAGCAGAAATGACTACTTGCGTAATTGCACGCTTTCCGCAGGCAGTGACGTCGATTGTTGTTTCGTCGAATGAGGTGCAGCCGATATGGCGCCAGGGGGCGTACATAGTGTAATGTGGATCACGTGATATGGCCCGCTGCTTCTGCCGCCATGGACCTCCTCTGCATTGGTCACATCAACAACACATCTCAAATCACCGGCGACTGAGAAACGACAGTCGGCTCGCACCATACAAAACGCAGTCGGGCCAGACCAAAATGGCAATTATTCGACACTCTGTTGCTCCGCTGCGAGCAGTGCGTTGCGCCCGCCAGCCCATCGCTACCAGACCCTTCTCCGTAACCTCCCGACGGCAAGGCGGCGGCCACGGCGAGTCACAATTCGAACCTCCTACCGGCTGGCTCTGGGGCATCAAGCCCGGCGAGAAGCCGGAGCCCGAGGGTTGGGAATGGCCCATGTATATTTTCTGTGGCAGTTTGCTGGCTGCCGGTGTTGCGCTGGCCTTTAAGCCCGACACATCGTAAGTCCCTCGAACCCCGTTATTCCGATGTGGTCGAATTCTCCGCCGCGTACTACAGCGAGACTAGGTTGGTCAAGGACTTCTCGATAGAATACGAGGTAGCGGAATTGCTATATCGGAGAGTTTTTGGTCGTCTATGCCGCATGGTTCTTCCTGGAGCATCGACCCTTTGGAAGACTTCGTTTACTAACGGGGTTGCAGTGTCTCTACTTGGGCCCTTGAGGAGGCCCGACGGCGGTTAGAAGCAGAGGGTGTTCTGCCGGACCCCAGCAAGGACAAGAAGGAATAAACTGGCGACAGGGGACGACGAAGGAAGGGATAGACAGGGGGTTATGTTCGATTGGAGTGGGATCGGGGGGCCAACGCGGCATCAAACGCTAATATGTACATGTTTCAAGGGCCTTCTTTTGTTTTGGGCAAAGATAAATTCCTTCAATGGTACGACGCATTAGACTTCTTTCTCAAGTCTCTATCAAATGCTGGCCTCACGTTACGCTACATCGCGTCTGTGCAACTTGTTGTTCTCAACGACATGGTGACGAAATACTTGCCCAAATGCCCTGTTTTCATACGTGCAGACACGATGGGCTCAAAACTGATTTCTAATTTGATGACGTTGCTACGTTAGGTGTCCAAACTATATATACATGTGCAGCGAGCGCCTAACTTCTAGTCTATTCTATCAGAATTCAAAATTACGCAATCTTAACGCTCCATTCATGTTCCTCTTCACCATACTGAATCGCTTCTATCCATTCCTTGACACGCAAAGCAGTCTCGCCAGACTCCTCGGTCTCCTTCAGGCCACATTCGACGTGCTTTCCCTTCCAGGCAATGGTTCGGATAGGGCTGACAATGGCAGCAGTACCGGCACCAAAAGCCTCCACCAAGCGACCATCCTGAGAAGCCTCATAGAGCTCGTTCATGGTGTACTTGCGCTCAGTGACCTTCCAGCCCTCGGGGACAAGACGCTCGCGGGCCAATGCAAGGACGGAGTCTCTGGTAACACCTTCCAAAATGGTGCCGTCAAGAGGGGCAGTGATGAGCTCCTTCTGACCGGTTTTCTTGTCCTTGAGAACCACAAACATGTTCATGGTACCGACCTCAGTGACGTATTCCTCTTCTCCAAAGAGCCACAGATTCTGTTGGTAGCCCCGGCTAGCAGCCTGTAACTGGGGCACAATGCAAGGGGCGTAGTTGGCACCGAGTTTCTTATCACCGACACCGCCAGGCCAGGCTCGCACGGCGTAGTCGGTGGCCTCGAGCGAAACGGCCTTGAAGCCAGTAGGGTAGTAAGGTCCCACGGGGGAGGCAATGACATAGAGCAACGCAGAGCCAGGAGGACCAACGCCAAGGGTCTTCTGGGTACCAATCATGGTGGGTCGAAGGTAGAGTGAGTAGCCTCGCTGGTTAGGGATGAATCGTGAGTCAAGGTTGACCAACTTGCTAATGAGCTCGATGAAGCTGGTGGGCTCAAAGGTGGGAAGGGCGATACGGGAAGCGGACTTGTTCAGACGGGCCATGTTCATGTCTGGGCGGAACAAGCGGACCTTGCCGTCCTTGTCCTTGTATGCCTTCATTCCCTCGAAACATTCAAAGGCATAGTGAAAGACGCAGGTGGCAGGGTCTAGGGATAGGTTCTGATAAGGGGTGATTTTAGGGTCGAGCCAGCCATCTTCCTGAGTCCACTCGATGGCAAGCATGTGGTCTATGAATTGACGGTTGTTAGGCTGTTCTCATTCCCCAATACATAGAGGGACAAATTGGTTGGCAAGACATACCAGTGAACTCGCGTCCAAAGACAAGGGTTTCGGGCTGGCTAAGCGGCTTGGGGCTGGATGTCTGAGTGATGGAGAGTCTGTTGGGGTCAAGAGCCTTCTGCTTGGAGTCTGAAGCAGCTTCGGCCTTGATGCTAAAGAGACGAAGGGGACGGGAGGCTTGGAGCGTCCGTGAGGACCTGCTGGCGGCCCAGACGGCGCTCCGCGCAAAAGTGGCGGCTCTCATCGGGGAGGGTATGGGCGTGCAGCCGAAGTCTAATGTGTAGTATGGTACAGTATTGTTTCGACCGAAGATGCAATGGCGGAGGACCTTGGGGGAATGGTCGCAATATATATACACGCCGCCAATTGGACAGTCATGAGGGGTCGTACTGAGCAGGGGAAGGTAGTTTGAGGTTGTCGTCGAAGTGCGGTCTCTCGACAAAAAAAATAAAGCCGGGCTCCCCCAGCAAGGGTGCGCAGGAGTTATGGAGTACCGGTACCGGTACCGGAGATCTGGGCCTGTTGCAGTCAGTGATGTTGCAGCGCACAGCGCAATCGCTGCGTGGGTTGCGTGGGAGCGCATCTGCCCCGGTTGACCAGTTGACAGGCCCGCGCGCCCTTTGGCCTCCGCCGGCTCGGTCCAGCGGCCAGGGCCGAAGGTAAGCGCCGGGGTTTGAGGAAGAGCGCGCTGGTACCGGGTAAGTGGCCTTGTCTTGGGCCAAGCCTCCTTCTTTGTCAGGCATGGACCCTCAGACTCTCTGACCTTGAGACATCTGGCACGTCCAGCTGAGTGGACACCAACTATGCCGCGGGATACACGCCAACAAAGGGGCAGGCATATGGAAGCTTTCCCTGATTAAGTTCTTGCAGCACGACTGCAACTGAGCTCCCTTGGAGACGAATACTGATCTGGCTTCATCCAGCCCGGACGCTACTAGCTAGCCATCGCACTGGTTCTATCAATCGCAGCCCAGCCAACTGCCCGCCAGCATCCACCACCGACTGCAGACCACCGACACCTCGACGACATGAAATCACAAGCTTCTGAATCACACCGTCCGTGATATACACCATGTTCACCTCGGCGCTCAAGTCTTTTTCTGCCACCAACATCACCGCAAACTATTCCACGTCGGAGCATCCCACCTCCTCCGCCGGTCCTTGGAAGATTTATGATGCCACCAAGAAGTCCACTGGCAATGCGTACAGCGTCTTCGTCTTCGACAAGAGGACGTTATCGAATGGCAATTCCCTGGGCCGATCCGGGGCAGCCGGCTTCAAGCGCACCGTGGACGAGGTGGTTGAGCGCTTGAAGAAGGACGCCTCCAACTTGGCAAAGCTTCGCCACCCATCGATTCTAGAGCTAGTGGAACCAGTCGAGGAGTTGAGGAACGGTGTTTTGCAGTTCGTGACTGAGCCCGTCTCTGCGTCCTTGTCTAGTGTGCTGCAGGAGAAGGATGACCAGGAGCGATCAGGAGGGAGGTCGAGTCGGTTTGTCACCGAGGATGCAAGTGGCGTCAAAAAGCGGCGTGAGATTGAAATCGACGAACTTGAGATCCAAAAAGGCCTGTTGCAAGTTAGCCAGGCTCTAGAATTCTTGCACGAAAATGCTGGTCTTGTTCATTGCAACTTGACACCAGATGCTGTGCTTATCAATGCCAAGGTACACCACAATGGACTTAGACAGGAACCCCTACTTTGCAAATGACCTGCTAACATAATCTCGATAGTCTGATTGGAAGATTAGTGGTTTGTCTTTCTGCAGCCCGGCCGACAACTCAACGAAACCGACCTCGATTCAAGGCATAAGCTTGGGCGAAGTGCTGAATATTGACCCTCGATTACCAAGACATGTCCAGCTCAACCTCGACTATACATCTCCCGACTTCGTCATGGACAATAACTTGACTCCATCTGCAGATATGTACTCACTCGGCTTGCTTGCCATCGCCCTGTACAATTCGCCGCACAAATCCCCTCTCGATAGCCATGGTAGTGTTTCTTCATACAAGAGGTTGTTTTCATCGGGGTCCACGACACCATCCGCGTCCAACGGCTTTTTGTCGTCGCGACCCTTGCCAAAGGACCTGTCAAGCCACGTGTTGCCCAGATTGATCGCCAGGCGACCAGCTCAACGGATGACTGCCCGTGAATTCCAGGAAAGCGAGTATTTCGACAACGTTTTAGTGTCGACAATAAGGTTTTTGGATTCCTTCCCGGCCAAGACCCCGAATGAGAAGTCTCAGTTTATGAAGGGCTTGAACAAGGTGTTGCCATCGTTTCCAAAATCTGTGATGGAGAAGAAGATCCTGCCAGCGCTTTTGGAAGAACTCAAAGATAGAGATCTGCTTTCACTGATTCTTCAGAATGTCTTCAAAATAATTGACCTGCTACCATCTGCCCGACGAGCATTCGGTGACAAGGTTCGTCCGGCTTTGA